ATATATAATAAAAGCTTACCTTTTGCAGATCGATATCGGAAAAGCGGCATATGGGCGTTGAGAACGATGCGAACAATACAATGCTTTTCCAAAAAATTAAGCATAATCGCCAAATGAGTGGTAAGTGTTTCTTTGTGGTAGTTATTTCAAAGAGTGCGTATAAGTTTTGCTTAGTATGCATGGCTTTAGGGCTTGGAAAGGGCTTATTTCATTTTCAATTCGATTTTGCTTAGAAGCTTTGCATATTATTTGTTTTGTTTTAATAGAGAAAATATTATCATTTGTATTTGTTCTTTCGCTTGCTTAACGCTTCCTGTATTAAGTTTGTTCGGCGCTTTATTTGCATAAATTAACACTTCAGCTCCTATTTTGCATCATTTTGTCCCGTTCGTCAGTCCAGCACGGCAGTCGCTTGCTATGTCGTCTTCACGGAGCGCCACATCACTTCGGGAGAAGTGTCGCCGACGAAGCTTAGCATTGCTTCGATCTTCTGATGAAAAAACTGTCACTGAAAGGTCTATAGGAAATCGTGAAAAAGTTCCTTCCATTATATCCGCTAATTCCATCAGCAATGCAAGTAATGAGGGCACAAATATGGCTCTTTTACTATGTAAGCATGATTTGTAATTAATTACTGGTCAAATTTCATTTTTATTTTTTATTATCAATATGAAATAAGGCTAAAAATTATGTAAATATTGCAAAAGTATAGCTTGAAACCATCCGTCGCTGAAGGATCTTATTTGTTACCATCGTTTTATTTTTTATAATAGTTACTCTCATGGATCTGATGCATCCTGTGTTCTATGGAGTTCATATCGCTTTAGTTTCAAAGAGCATTTATAACATTTAGTCCTTATTTCTGTTAACTTGTACTAGTGTCAGTGCATGATTCTTTATGTTAGAATATTAAACTATCCCTTTTTGGGTTGCAAAATAATTATAGATGTTTGTATTGGTCTTTATCAATAGCTATTCCAGCATCTCCCAATCGTCGTTCATTAAGCCTCGAAAGCATGGAGACGCGCCGATCACCAGCGCTGGCAGCTGCATCAGCGTAAGTCGCATTTTTTTTTAATATTATTTTATGTAATTATATACTTCCAAACGATTATTTTTGACTTCAGCCCATTACCCATCATGAAAAGGGAAGGGTCTGCATTGCAGTCATTCTACTGGACCAACTATCCGAGATGTTCGGGTGGAACAAATGGCAAGGCGAGGCCATCCGAACACTCTCAAGCGAGCTCAAAAATCTCGATTCAGTGGTCATGCGAAACCGTCCATTTCCGATGTGGAAGATCAAACATCTGCAGGTAACTTAATTCATTCAATATGGCTCACCATTTTTCCAAATTGCTTTTAGTTTTAGCAAATTTGTTTGTTTATATAATGTGGTATTTTTAGAGAAAAATCGGGATGAGTCTTATGCGTCGTTACCTCGAGAAGTTTCTACTGCTTCCAAGGAAAAACAACAGCGAAGGAAATCAATTGGAAAGTGAGTTGTATCTGACATTCTTTATTTTCCAGATAAAAGTGATTTTTCCTGAAAATAAAAATAAAATAGATTTTCAACGATTCTCTCTTATTAATATTGTATATCCATACAGATATTTAACATTTTTTACTGCTCTTTACTTTTCAGTATTTATCAACAAGTAAAATTGTTGGTATTGAAATTAAAATTTATTAACAACTTCTGAGTAGATAAGATAACTTAAATTTATTTTCAGTAGCATATTTTCAAAGATTACCCAGAGACTTGGTGGCTCGAGATCGCGTGATACATCTCCAGAAAAGTCGGTATCATTCGACATTGCTGAAAATAACTCTTTCATCACGAAGACTAATAGGTTTGTGAAGTTACTGGAAAAAAAATTTACAATAAATGAATACAGCGATATTTTGAAGGAATTTATTTGAAGGTTTTTGCAAGGATACAACTTAGTTTAATTACTTGGAATACTTAACAACATTTTTCATTATTTCTAGGACGCAAGATTATCGAAAGTTGAATAAAGAAAGCAAAAGTAATCAATCGATTCGCAGGGCACCACCACCATACAAACCATCATCCTGTGAAATTTTGCAGTCGGCGGATTCTGACTACTATATGAACGTAAGTCTCATTTGGCTTTCCCTTTATGACAATAGGATGATCACAGAATGTTGTGAAAATCACATGACAATGCTATTTTAATTTTTCATGTAAAGATCTACTGTAACTGTTTTTTACTCTCCTAAGACTTTTTTATTTGAAAGTCCTGTATCCTGCTGTAGAGTTTTCAAACCTAATTATAAACCTAATTGTAAATTAACCGTCTAATAATTTCTTGGATAAATTCATTAGCACTTTATTGCAACTATAAAAGTGCCGAATAGTATGCGCAGTTCGTATTAATTGAGAATCTTTTAAATGAGCACCAACAAGTTTCAAATTTAGGATGCTCCTGGAACGCATAAAACAGAAATTGTTTGCAGCAGAGAGGAATTACCCGCCAGTGGCTACATACGGGTTGCAAATTCAAAGTTCTACAATAGCTTTGTTGAGAGGTGGGCGGGTAACTTGCAAGCTTAGCTATCTTCCCTAGGATTCGCTCCTATATGCTTCAAGCACCCCTCTTATTTATTGTTGCTATCGCTTCTCCAGAAAATTTTTTATGTTGTTCTTGAAAACGTTGATTTAATTTTGGCAAGTTTATCACATCGCATCAATAGTTTTAATTTGTTGTATTTCTGAATTCAACTGAAGAGAGGGTTGATTTTCCTTCTTCTTTGATAAGTTTTGAATTACGACAAGGGCGATTTCTAGTCAGCTTTCTGTTGCGCTTCAAGCTTTACACATTATCGAATATCGATACACATACCTTGCATGATAGAAATGTATCCCTTTTTGCATGAAACATCCTAAAAATGTTTGTTCATGCGCCGTTGCTTAGATAGCATTTGGTAAATGGGACTTTATAAAATTTTACAAAATTTAAAATATTTTTAATCGGCACTGAAGAATGTTTAAAAAAATCCTTTGCAAATTTCAACTTTCCGTTACAAGTGACAAAGAAAATTGCTTCCATTTAAGACATTATCGACCCTGCATGTTTTGTGACATTTTTGAGATTCTGTTTTTATCTTATGAAAGTCTTAAAAGTGTGTATTTTGATTTCCATATTTACTATTTGTAGGAACAAGGTGCACCCGAAAATTTGCAGTATAATTGGAGGGGACAATACCAAGAAGCAGTTTGCAACAACGAATGCAATAACGGAAAAGGAAGAAACTCATGTATCAATCCCCAAGCAAGAATGTATGATTCGATCAAAATAATTTGAAATTGGAATTTAAGATGCGAAAACTGAGACAAAATACATTTGAAATCTGAAATAGAAAATGGTTTCCGAAATTCTTTTTCACGCTGTTTTTCTTTCTTTTTTCAGCGGATATGGTAATGATCAGTTCCGTCAACAACAACAACAGCAATATGCAATCTACCCGCAACACTTTTATACAGGACGACGCGAGCAACAGCAACAACGCATGGCGTATTACACGGGATGCAGTACCGACTACTACGATATCTTCAATGCCTGGTTTGCATACAGCGCAGCAGCCGCATGCGGAAATATACCTATCGTCACAAAAGGAAGAAATGAATATCCGTCCCACCATACTTACTTTTCCACAGCAGCAGAAACAGTATCATCTAATAGAGCAGCGATACGACAAATTCATCATGAAAGGTTTATTAGTTTAAATATTTAAGTTTTTAAATTAAACGTAACGCGTTTTAACGGCCACTTCAAATTACGATAACACTGCAATTAGGATTTGGTGCACTTAATTTTAAATAATATCTTCTTAACGACATGTATGAAATGAAATTTAATTTTAACTTTCGACATTTTTAATTTTAAATGACGAATTTATTCCACTTCCTGCCACCCCATGGTTAGATCTGACATAGTAACTTTCTCGCAGCATGGAAATTGAAGCTTACATTTATTTTAAAAAAAAGAGCTTTAATTTTAAGATAAACTGCGCAGCATCTAATTAACAGATACTCTTGACATCTTGAAAATTGATCTTTTTTTTCCAGATTCCGATCGTGTCCAACTCAGTTTGTCTCATCAGGAGTGCGAACGAGACAGAATATCGAAAGGGTTAATCCCTACTACGCAACCGGCTATACCTCCCATTCCAGTCGTATTTCCGACTTCTAGAACTTTCTTCTTTGCGCCTTCCACACGGATGTCAGGACATCGAACAAATGATTCACAACCAGGAGCTCGTTCTAGTTTACGAAATCGCACTAAATCAATTTTCACTCGACCGTCCAAAGAATGTGCATCAGCTGAAAACATTGTGAACCAACCAAGAAGTTCTTTGAAGTCTCAAATATCTGTATTTGTTCCTGAGCGGTCCTGCAAAAATCAACAGCGGCAGTCATTACGGAGCTCTAATCAAGAACCGCTTTTGCTATGTTCCTCTCCAGATTCTTCTTTCTCTTATTCTTCTCATCCTGAGACATCTGCTCCTTCGATGTCGTATCCACTTTATAGTTTTGATCAAACTACTCTTTCATCTCCAACTTATTTGCAAGCATTACTAGAATCACCAGGGAAAAATTGCAAAGGTGTCAGTACGATCAATATTCCGAAACCAATCAAATGCATTAAAATTCATTACGGACAATCTCATCCGTCATCTCCCAAACAACAGCCACTGCGAACTCGAACTGTAAACATCCGTTCGAATAATGTTTCAAGTCAGCAAAATCATGTCAGAGAAAGTGTAAATGAGTTTGATTATCGGAAATATCTTCGACCGACGCGTCGGAATCGCATAAATGATCAGGAACAACGAATAACGCTTATTGCAACGGTACCTGACGAAACGATATTTATGAGAAAAACTGCAACTTGTCATACTCCTCGTCCCAATACCTTATATAATGCTACCACTAGTAATTAGAGAAATATTGATATTTGTAAACTTCCTGAATCCAATTCATCTTCATTAATCTTCTAATTAGTTTTTCTCATTTGTCGTTTGGTTCGTAAATATTTATAGTACTCGATTTAATAATGTTCAGGGAGTTATACTTAATTACATGTTTGATTTCTAAAATTTTCAAATTCCATATATAATTTTAGTAATTTGATCAATTCTTTAATGCTTAATTTGTAATGCATCGCTTTCCATTATTACCTGTATATACTACAACAGTGGTAACTTTATATCATAGTAAAGTTGATCGAATCAACATTTTCATAAATCGCATAACTGATGGAGCATTATGAAATCGGGTAATCTGGTTAGATCTTTATTTCCTTTACTTCTTTTCTTATCAAGTATTTCACATAAAATGTCTCTAAGGTATAAGAAAAAAAGGAATTTGAAATTTGATGGAATTTGCATAATCGCATTGCATTCTATGCTCTTATGTTACGTTTTCGAGCTATTTTAAGATTGAAATCAGAATTTTCTACTAAATCATTTTAGTTTATACTTTTAATCATATAAATGACAGAACGATCAAAATCTCCCAAATATCACTATGGAAATCACAGGCGTAAAACGCTACCATTCTGTGCCATATAAAATTTAATGAAATAATTGCTACCATTTTTCTCATTTTGTTGTACTTTATGTGTCACTTCACTTTGATCTTTGTCTTTGTTGTTTATAGAAGAAAATATATTATCTTATCATTGATATGTTGCAGCTGAATAGTTGAAAATTTTTCGGCTAAAAACGATTAAGAATTTTCATACTCAACTGAAATCTATCTTAGTTGACACTATTATTTTTTTAGCTAAAATTTCTTCAGAATTCATAGTGGGATATTTCTGATTCATGTGTTGTACGTTGTTTGAAAATAAATTTTCATTTATTTCAGATTCATTAATTAATTTAATGCTATTAAATTCTGTTTGTTGGAATGAGATGAAATGGGAAATAAACATCAGCGAAATTATGAGTAATGCTCATGTATTGCTTGAAAATGCATATCACTTGCCGAGGAATTTTATATGTCGACGGAAAGAGGCATTTGACGCATTTCCTACACATTACAATATAATCTTGCTAATTTCATTTTATAATGCATAAAATTGAATTATTTTCTTGGAAGGAATGGGACGCTGATTGATAAGAAGATTAGTTTCAGCTTGAGGTGTCTGAGGGGAATTGCTATCATCTTATCTTATCGTGATCCTTCCTATTTATGTTGTTGAATCCCACATGCATAGTGCTTTGAATATATTGTGAAACTCTTTCAGTTTCAATGCATCTTAAATCCAAGTATTTTGTAGAAGATAGTATTTCTTTATTAAATTGATTCCAAAATATATTTGATGATTTATGGAGTTGTTTGTAAGCTTTTATTTAAATTTTTTTCGTGGCATCATATTTAACAGACAAAAGTGATCCCAGCTATAAAGTAGGTAGTATAGCTGCGAATATGCCATCCTCAGTTGTATTCTATTCCATTTGTTGACTGATTCCGTTAATGCAGTGAAGAAATCTCATATTTAACTGATTCAGGAAAGTATAAATTGCTCAGGCTTTTCTTGAAATATATCGTATTACAAGATAATTGACATTTACCAATTACTATCTCATTAATTAGAAAGAAGGAGAAAAGCAGCTGTATAAGACAAACAATACTTTTTGTGGAGAAAACAATTTCTGATGAAGACATGAACGCTGTGTTATGTCAGCAGACGATTGATTCTCTCATTATGCTATTGCTATTTGACAACGATTATTATTACAATATCTGCAACAGTATCCACTATTAGATGATTCCCGTAGATCAATACCAACAGTAAATGATACGATATTCAATGGCAGAGAAGAGTAGCAAACAATAATTGATCCGTGTGACTCAGCACAATAATAACGTTATAGTGCTCACGCTTTCACGTCACCAGTTTACAGTTTTAATCGTTCTGTTCCGATATTTAGCATAATTTTAGCAAAAGAAATGTGAAATTCGATATTGCTAATCGTTGCGAATATCCCATCTCATTCACTTCTCTAAATTCTTTCATATAAACAATTGCGCTCAGCGATGCTTCTTCATATATTTCATTCTGTTCAAATGTTTATCGCTTCCTATCGTAAACTTATTTATTGAATGTTGAAGGAGCGTTTTCATGGCTTATTTCCCAATTATTTCTGCATATTTCCGCACTCTTATTTTACTAATTATATTCTTTGCTACAAATTATCATTCAGTGTTTTCTGAGGAACAATTTTCAACAGTACGAGTGAGAATTGCCAAAGAAGCATTTCAATTTTTTAGCAAAATTGCACATTATATTGTATGTCCCTTTTAAAATATTTCTTTTCTTGTTATTTCATTCTCTTCTCATTATCAATTAAAACATATTGAGTTTATTGTATGTATTATATGATATTATTGTTAGGATTTGTCGATTTAAATCGATGAAAATTACAATAAATTATTGCATTTCAATGAGATTAAATGTTTAAAATGTAAAATTTAGTTTTATTGAAATTTAAAATTTGAAATTTTATGAGTAAAAAAATAATAATTTGCAATAATTGTGGAATAAAATTTGAGAGAATATGAAAAAAATTTAGGTTGATGAGGAAATATGGAAGCTAACATTTCCAGAAATAACAATTCCAATCGAAGATGGACCTGGCATTGGTGAAGTAAATGTAACTGAACTTACATTACAAGCATTTAAATCACCAACTTTTTCATTTGAATTAGCTTCACCAAATGGTATCATTTGGAAATCTAAAGGTGGATCAACAAAACAGGAGGCTGTCTGGCTTGCTTATTACAATTTCATCGTTCCAGTAAGTTTATACAATTATTCATTACAAAAATTTGTTGAATGGAAAAATTAATTAAGTGATGCTAATTTTAAGGCTTTAAGCTTATCGAGTTTTTGAGCTTTTTTGTAATCTTTTCTGGTCTAATATAGTCGAAAGCATAATAGTTATAAGTATCAATTGGATTTATTAACCCATAATTAATGACAGCATTTATTGCAGGTTTATCTCTCGGGATATGTTAATGCAAAAATGAGTGATATCCGTGTTTATATGCAAACAAATTTATTTGTTCAAAATGAGCGTCCACAGATTGAGATCAGTGCTTGTTCCACGGACGTTCACCAAGTTTACGTATATATTACGGGAGGTGTTGTGCAATGGATCGTCAATTTATTTCGATCACAATTAGCTTCTGCAATTAAGCAAATAATACATCAAAAAGTTCGATTCATATTTTTATTTTTATTTCAAAAATATTTTCATACAATGTCTTTGTAGAAATTTTAAAATTAACAATGGTTTTGAGAATTGGTCAAAAGACTGTTGAAAATTTAACACTGTCAGCATTATACTTTTCCATATTAATAGTTTGCTAATCGATTCTTTCTTTTCTATCTTTTAGTTCATTAATTAGAATTTATGGTTAGTTTATTTGAATTTATCTTAAAAATTTTCAGCATATAAATACTTGCTTTTAGCATATTCCGAATTATGAAATGAGAATAAAAAATATAAAATGGTATATTAGTTGGAATTATCGAAAAGCCACCTATTGATATTAATACATTTGATAGATGTGTGATGTGATACGCAGTACTGTTGTTCAAATCAACGCCGCCTTATCAACGCTTTCTACACAAATTAAATTATACGAGAATTTCTATATGAGATATTCATGCTTGGTAAACTATATAATTCGTGTTGATTTATATCTTTGTTTTTTCTATTATATGAACTTATTAAGTTATACTTTACGGAAATCATACTTCACGACATTGAGATCATTGAGATCAGTGATAATATGCCATGGATTAAATTTTTAGTTATACAATTGCTATAAATTAATTAATGTACGTACAGGTTAATTAATATTATTAATAAGGAGAATATATCTGAAAAGGTTATAGAAAGGTTTAAAATTTAAAAATTTTTTTGTACGAGAATTTTCGGCAGTAAATTATTGATTGGAATCATTCTTTAAATTATCATTTGTTTCTTTTTTTGAATACTTTCTATTTTATCTTTCATCTTTTTTAGCAGACACCTGTAGTGACGGGGAAATACATTGAATATGAAATGGTATTTGATGTAACTTACGGACAACGCAATTGTATGTTACCAATGCAACAAATGGATGACCGTTAGCTTATCTGTTATTTTTTATTTTCAAAAATTATATCTGTTCTTGAAATTACGAATTCCTGATAAATCATTTCAAATATATTGCCGTCTCCTGATTAGTGTAAAAAGAGCAATTAATAATATACCGATATTGAAAGGTGTGCTAATCTGTTCTATTTTGTCTACTCATAATATCTTAATTTATTGAGTCACAATGTATATCAAAGAAGAGGAGGTTAACCTATGAGATAATACTCTTCAAAAAAAGATTTAAATTATTTTTCTATCCTACCATATTCTCTAAGTTATAACAATCAGACAGTTTAACTAAATGTGAAAAGTATTACTCTTTCAGTGTATCCGATTAATATAATCGATTAATTATCAAACAAATATTTAAATGCTGTCATTTAGAAATTGATTCAAAGAAACGAATGGCACATATTTGGTTATCAGAATATGTACCAAATTGTTTGCTACAAACTGTATATAATAATGCAAATTTAACATTTGCTATAACATCAAATACCAGCTCTGGTCGATTTGCAACTTTTCTGAGAACTGAGTCAATTTTTTCATTCATTTCAAATTCTCTCATCTTTTTAATTATTAATCAATGAGTCAATTAAATTTCATCAAAAAATTTGTTTAGAAAGAGTTTAATTTCGATTCAACAAAAATAATAGCATCGTAATTTAATTCATAATACTCCCAAATAAACATTCAAAATATTAAAAATTAAAAAATTTTCTTTACGTTAGTAATTTTGATTAAAATTTAGCTGTGAACTTTTTGAAATATGTATTGGAAAATTCCTTCCAATTTTACGTCTTCGATATCCCAATCGAATAACCTATTTTTTAATTCAATTAGCTGAAACACCGTATACTGTTATTAATGCAAATGGCATACGAATATTTGCAAATTCTACGGTAGATTTATATTTATCATCAGAGAAGGAGCAATCGTATAGATTAGCAAGACTTGGTAAGAATTTTTTTTTAATTTAATATAATTAGAATTATTTGAGTTACAGAAAAATTGGAATTTATCCAATTATAAAATACTTTAATTACAATTAACATTCATCACTTCAGTGATGAATTCAACAATCTATGCGATACCATTGTTCTTACATAGGAAACTTGTGGGTGATATTAGTAATGTTACGATAATACTACTTGAACACGATTCAACTGTTGGACATTTCAATCCTCAGTATGCTTTTCACTTTCAATCTATAGTTTATGAAAGCATTTCTCTTTTTATCGTATTTCTTATAATCTTGTTAGTTTACTATTAGCTGAATAGGCTATTCCATTTGCCATTCCAATGAAAATAACAATGTCCCTTTTCATTTATCATATTTATTCACTTACCATTTCATATTTTAAAATATGATTTAACACGTTTCTCTCGAGTCTTTGAAAATTTCATTTCACAGAAATAAATAATAAGACTTATTGTTAAATGTTATATTTGTCAAAATTAAATTCTGCAATTTTAGCTCATTAATATCTAAATGTATTTATTTATATATTTCTACATTTTAGGATGCTCGAAGTGTTAGAAAAACTAATGGCAAAAATTGTGAAATCAATTGGAGTAATAGCACTTAAAATTGGTATACCAATGCCTCTCATAGATAATGTGACGGTATCGGATGATACCGATATTGTTACCAAAAATGGATACATTCGTGTTGATTTTGATTTCACTTATAAATAAAATATTTAAAACTTTCATGCATTTTTTTAGGCTTTAATATGAAATGATAATAAATAGATAGAAAAGGTTAGATGATATTTGATTATTTTTCTGAGAAATATCGTAACAATTGATGTATGGAAGGAATGATAGAATTAAAAAGTTAAAGTGTGAAAGAGAGCATCACAAAGAATGCCCGAGATTTCAGAAATTGCGATTATGAAATTGCTTGGAAATATTTTTCCGTCTTTTCAAAATTTTCATTGCAGAAATTTCTGTGATAAAGAAAATTCAAAAGGAATTAATTGAAAAATGAATTGCATTTAAAAGTAACACATTTAAACCTCAATTCATCCTACTGCCACTTCTTCCTTTTCTGCTTATAACCTTCGAAATTTTTAAAGTTAATAAATTTGAATGAGAGAGAATGAATAGAAAATTTGTTGCATAAATAAAAGAAATTTACAAAAGGAATAAAAAAATTATAATTTGAGATATCAAATTATAATTCATTTTGGTACATTATAATTCATTGATTTTAATTCTTTTTCCTTTAATGTTATTAATATTATGTCTGATATGAAGTAAAGATTAAAATATAATGCTTCCTTTACACACTATCATATCCTGTTCCAGGAATTCAAATCAGTCTTGAGTTCAATATCCTCGGAAATATGAGATTGTATTTGTTCTGATTTTATAAAATGGAATATTTTAATTACTTCGAAATGGGAACTATCACTACTTGAATTGCTACTTCTTTATTTTGTTTTCTAATAATAGATGTATCAAATAAACACAATCAACAAATGATAATTATCATTATTAAGAATTATGATATTAAAATAAATAATGCTGAGATGAAGCGTGAATGAAATTCCCGCCCTTCGCGATGTGTATCCTTATAATGCTACGCTGTTCAGTATATATATATATATATAAAGTAAAATAATTTTCAGTTTGAGATCTGAAACGATAGAATGCATCAGATTCCGAAGATCAGATGAAAGAAAAAAAAGCTCACTGAATTTGAAATCCCAAATATTCAAACTAAAAAAGACAGTAATATTAATAATGAACCATCAAATAAGATATCATTATCCATAGCAGTTTATACGTATCAAATTTATTACAGTTTAAAAAGCAGTCGCGAATTCGAAATATTTCAGTGGGACAAACTGATATGATATTTCATGGATACTTTTAATTCATTTCTTCTTGTTTATTCATTTATCCATCCATTATTTCTTTCCCATCACAGAGTAAAATTTTTGCAGAAGGAAGCAATATGTAAGATATATAATAATCGATAAATAATCATAAGTTTCGATATGAATTTTCCAGAAATGATACAAAATGAAAAGAAAAAACACTAACATAATTCACATATTTTGAAGAGTTTGAAAAAATGGAAAAAGATTTCAAGAAATGAATTGATGGGGGCACACACTTAACCATCCTTTAAGCAAAGGTGACAAGTCATAATAGTAAAAAGAATTGTGCCTTCAGTAGGTTCAATATTTGCAAGATCAGTAACGCTTTAAAGATGACATTAATGCATTCCAGAATCAAATGTTCAGGAAAAATAGTAGCTTGAAATGCTATTTTTCAGTTCCTAGAACGTTACTTTTTTCAATTCCAAGTAGGACTTTTTCGAAAAGTAGCTGGTAAGAACTCAAGTCACTATATATTGGCTATAAAATCAAACAACATGGCAGAACTGAAAAAGTTCACATGTAATTACAGAGAATTCGAAATAATATTAATTGACGAAAAGGTAGGGAGAAATTAATGTCTCTTGTACGATATTTTTCTTGATATTTGACTTGTCATCAAAGAACCGTTGATAGCAATTGTCAAGTTGTGATGAACATTTTCATTTTGTTAAATAATCACACAATCTTTCTTTTCCAACTCTCCGTTACATGTATCAGTCCCTCTTTTTTCCCGATGCTATAGTCGATCTTCTTAGAGTTTGTGTGTGTGTGTGTGTGTGTCTGAACCTCTTTTCCCAAAATGTTATTTATGCTGGGGTAAATTTAACCTATATTGAAAATACCCGAGCATTCACCGTGATATTGTCTATTCGACTGTCGGCAAGTACCTCTCTGTTCCCGGCTTCCTGCTTCAGTCATACGTTACGATATCGTTCATGATGAAATTCATCGACTATCAATAACTTTTTTCCATATCGCGACATCAGGCCCTTCAACTGACCAATTCAGCAGAGTTTTGTTAATGCCACTGGCGAGAGCAATACTTGTCCAAAACTTTTACCGCACATCATAACCTATAATCTGAAAAGCACATCCAAATATCACATTCCCAATTCGGAACTTTTAATTGTTCACTCAATTTCAGTTAAAAAATAAGAGACCGATAAGCAGTAGCAGAAATGTAATGAATTTCTTCGTTCACAAGAGCTCCACAGAAAAGTTTTCCCTTAAGAGTAAACTATTGTAAGAGTATTTCGTGCGCTTATTTAGATTAAAGTTGTCGATATGATAATATCTAAGGTTTTTAATTACGCCGAAAAAAAACTTTTGTATCTAACAGCAACTGTCAAAGGGATTGCAAAGTTTCGCGTTCGATTGCGATTGCTGGAATGCGTACGTGAGTGGTTACGTAAAAGACGAAGAGAGTGTTGAATATTCACTATTAAGAGTGTAATGAATAAGTTTATAATGACGTTTCTGAGAGGCAACTGCATTTATGCCAAAATGCGGAAGTGCATTCAAATGGATTTAAAAAAGCACTCAAACCTTTTGTTACAATGTTTTTACAGTCCAAACAGGAAAGTTCTTGAAAGTTCTTGGAAAGTTCCAAATGTTAATTTGAATTTTCTAAAATAAAAAAAACCATTCATTTGTCGGCAACAAATTACGATATAGAATGACGTGAACACAAACAGTCTACCCTTGGTAAATAACTACTAGTACTAACTCTATCTCTGGGATATTCCAGATTGCAAAGTTAACACGAAACTGAAGCAGTAATATGGGCAGGAAATTATTGTGCTGCAATAAGTGTGCTCGTTTGCGGAATCATTTTGTTGACGTTTTGTTGACGTAATGCTTTGTATCAGTGCTGGTGGATTGTTGTTGGACGGGTTCATTGTGATTGACGGGATGCTAGACAGGGAATTTCGGGAGAGACTTCTTTTGCGGTATTATCACCATGAAATGTCATTCTAAATTAGTGATAACAAATGCTTCCTTGTTTGATAGTCGTTAATGAAAAAAACATCAAAACGTCAAATGCATGCAGTTTTTCATATTCTTTGCTTTTTCCTTCGTCTGTCTGAAAGTGAGATTGCGCTGTTTAATGATTGTCTTAGATATGTTGTGGGAGGAATTGGAAGCTTAGATATTTCATTGTATTCAGTGATATAAAAATGGCATGTCTTCGCTTCCGATCAGTTGAATTATTTAGCAAAAAACGGTCTGATGATTTGCATGTTAATGCGTTTTTATTTGCAGGTTCCTCGACAATGATATTGAGGTGGGTTGTAGTTTTGCTACTTTCTCTACCATTTTTATTTGGAATTAAACCGAATTCTCCATTATTAAAAGGCGACAATTCCAATACAGATATTGAAGACGATGAATCCGAAAAAAAGGTTTTTTCAGTTTCCGTCAAAGGTTCAGTAACGCAGTAGTAAGATTTTTCCAGTTCATGATGTTTCTCTATTTAAGTTTCATTGTTTAAGTTGTGATTATTTGGAGTTTGTTTTTGTTTAGTTCTTGTATAAATATTTTTTTAATTATCCATTTTTTCAAGTTTTTAATGGCTTTCAGGAAGAAAGAACCACCGATAGATTAGTGCTGCTAAATAACGAAGGAGAAACGATGGACGCATTTAGTCAAAAGCAGTCTCCTGGTATTTATATATTCGATTTATTTTGTCGTTCATAATTTCCATATGAAGTGATACTTTACATTGTTCGATGTGTACAGTGGCAAATGGAAGAAAAAAAAAGGATCTTTTGCTTTTAGCGACTCATGATATTACAAGTGATGATATTGAAAGAATGTCGAATGCAGCAGTTGAAATTTCTACTGTGCCATCAGCTGGCGATGAGTTTACAAAAGAAAAAGTGGCGGAACGGTAAGTGTTAGAAAAGAGATTCGAATAAAGATGTTAATTCATTCAAGTTTCGTTTTAATACATGTTAATTGCCGTTTAACTTTTGGATTTATTTTGGTGCCCATTTATAGAAGCGGAACTGAACAAAAAGAAGCAGAGAAAAGAGGAGATGAATTGTACCGCACAGCAATGCGATTCCTGGATAAAGGACGAGCTGCTTCGAATGAAGCTAAAAGAGCTGCATATAGACTTCTGGATGAAGCAGCCCAGCTTAAACACAAAGAGACCATGAAGTTAATTGGTGCGTTATGTATAGTTATGTAGATCTTTACTATTTCTCATAGATAGTTGCCTCGATACAATTATTACAATAGTTTAAAACAAGAACACATTTTTAATAGCTTGTTGATGCAAGTAATATTGTTTTTGTTCATGTAACGATCTTTCTGTTGGCTTCTTTGTGTATTGTTTCATTTTACTCTTCATCGGAGATTTGCGATTTAAAAAATTATCCTTTGAATAATAGATTATCTTTTCTAGCTTATGCATACTTGTTTGGTGATTATACGCGGTGGAATATTGATGAAGCACGAGCAATTTTTGAGGAATTGGCAGCAGGTGGCTCAGCTGATGCGCAGCTGGCATTAGGATTCATGCATGCTACTGGTTTGGGTGTTCCGGAGTCTTCGCAAGCGAAAGCACTAATTTACTACACTTTCTCTGCTTTGGGTGGAAATCCTTTGGCTCAGATGGCTTTAGTAAATTTTTTACTTTTTTTTTTGTTTTCAGTTCCAATAAATGTTTTTTCACTTCTATGGAAAGACTATTTCTGTTATTTGTTCATGCTTAATTTCAGTACTTTGCTAATTTCAGGGTTACCGACATTGGTCAGGTATCTCCGTGCAACAAAATTGTGAGCGTGCACTTACTTGGTATAGAAAAGTAGCTCAGCGTGTAAATGAGCAAGTTCGCATCTCAGGCGGTACAGCAATGCAGCGAATACGATTGCCTGATGAACAGGTTTTAAATATTTGGTTCTTAAAATTTTTGCATTTTGGGAACGGCGAGTTTTGAAATTTTATTCTCCTGAACACTTATCCCTCCTTCTTCTTCCTGTTCAAAGCTTATTTCAGGACACTATCAGTACTTCTTCATCTAATTTGATTCTCGACTCTAACTTGTTAAATTATTACAAGTATTTGGCAGATAAAGGCGATTTGCAAGCGCAGGTAATTTCCTTGAACTGTGCAATTATATTTATCAACTTCTTTTATTTGTTAATTGTGCTGAAAAAATTGGACATGGAGACTGGCTATTCATATGTGTGTCTGCTGTATTCATCTTCCTGAAGTTTGTCGATACCGTTCTATTAAATAACCAGTTTAGATACCCATTAAAGAAAAAGAATTTACAATTACACATTTCTTTATGGTGTCAGTTCTCTAGTAGGTTAATGCTGTTGAAAAATGATAAATCAACTGCGACTATTACTGTCATTACAATTTCCTTAAGAGTCACACTTGACTATTATTTCTGTTCCAATTTTAATCTACTCAGAAGTGACGCCTTAGGCAACATTTTTTGTTATACTTATTATACAGGGCAGCATCCAAAGTCTCGATCATTAGCAGTATGAAGTCAAAATAAATGAAAAGTAGCGAAAAATAACCTTCATTTTAAATATTAGGTAAAATTTATTGAAATGCTTCTAAGATTTCTCAAGAAAGTTAATACTGATGAAGAGCAGTTCTTAAATCGCTCATAGTTATAAGCAAGGTAGGATCCACTGTTAAAATTAATTATTGGTTTAAATGTGAAATCGTAGTCAAAAAAACTTCAAAATTAATGTCGCAAAATCAGAGAATCATGCAAACTAGAAATAGCAGTTCAGGATGGATCAAAGCTTCAAAGCAGCACAATATAAAATGAATCATACTGATCTTATTAGACATGATAGGATTTCAAATGATGAGCTTAATGAAAATATGACTAAAAATCATTATGGTAACAGTTTTTATCACTAAAAGAAAAGGCTTGTTGACAGAAAATAAGGTTTCCATGTAGTATCATGCGTCCATAGTTTTTATTTTTCTAAAATCTCGATTTCTTTTGTTAAGCATCTTTTTTTTCTCGATTCAGATGTTATTAAACAGTGTATTTATTATTGCTAATATTGACGAGTTCGTTATATGATTGCCAATATTAACGTGTTACACATATTACATTCTCTGATGGCTTGCTTTTACTAATGGAGATTTAAGGTTAGTCTTGGTCAGTTATACTTAACTGGTGGACGAGGCGTAGAGCAAAACATGGATTTAGCGAATCAATATTTTTCAACAGCTGCTCAAGCGGGCAGCACCAATGCATATGCATATCTGGGCAAGATGTATTTAGATGGCACACCAGCGACACCACAGGATAATGCTACTGCCTTTCAATTTTTTAAAAAGGCAGCAGATAAGGTATTGCGATGTGTTTTGATTCAGTCATACATTGTGCATATTTTAGTAATTTAATGGCAATTTGAATTAGCAGGAAACATTTTCTGTGATTTGCAGGGGAATCCAGTTGGACAAAGTGGTCTAGCCATAATGTATATGTATGGTAAAGGGGTGAAACAGGATTATACCAAGGCTGCGAAACTGTTTACTTTGGCCGCTGAACAAGGATGGGTTGATGGTCAGTTGAATTTGGGCTATCTTCATTTCAGTAAGTTTCGTTATTTAATTTCCTGCATCATGCATTTTAGTTTCTTTCTAGCTATTTGTTGTTATATTTTTCAAATTGATAGAATCTTTTATTTCAACTTAGGAGCAAGAGGCAATAAAGTATAGCTTCTCCTTTGTTTTTAACAGACATTTGAAATAACTCTGAATGATTAACTATTGTTCACAACACAGTTCATGTTATTATGAATTTGTTAATGGCGATGTATTTGCAGGAGGACTTGGTGTGAAGAGGGATTTCAAGTTGGCCATAAAATATTTTCAATTGGCTTCGCAGTCAGGGCATGTCAATGCATATTTTAATCTGGCACAAATTCATGCTACAGGTTTGTTAATTCCAGTTATTTCCATTTTGAACTTTTATTTGACTCTATGAAGTGATTTTTTGTTTTATTTTCTTTCAGTTCTCTATGGAGTATATTGGATGAATCTGATAATTTTTCAGGTACTGGTGTGCCTCGAAACTGTCATACAGCTGTTGAATTATATAAAAATGTTGCCGAACGAGGACGTTGGTCAGAGCGTCTCATGGAAGCATACGCTAGTTATCGTAGCGGACGAGTAGATGAAGCTGCCTTTAAATATCTTTTTTTAGCTGAACTAGGTTATGAACCAGCACAGACCAATTTCGCCTATATTATAGATCGCGGCAAGTTTTTTAAATGACTCTGCAAAGAATATGAAATAACCATATACAATAAATAATATTTGTCGATTTTGATGATTATATCATGGATTTATCATTTGTCGAGTTTCATAAATCTCTGGGAAGCATACTTTGAAATTTCAAGAGCTTATTAATTTTCTACTCTAAAATTTTTTTTTTAATTTTTAGGAGAATCAAGTTTGTTTCCAAGTGAAGAAGCATTACAACGTGCTTTACTTCATTGGCAACGTTCCGCGAATCAGGATTATGCTTACGCGCGCATAAAATTGGGAGATTATTATTACTACGGTTATGGTACTCCTGTTGATTACGAAATGGCAGCGACACAGTATAAAATTGCTAGTGACCGACATCAGGCTGCTCAGGCGATGTTCAATTTGGGTTATATGCATGAACAAGGTCTTGGAATTAATAAGGTTTGTTTTTTAAGCAGTTTCTTTTTGTTTTTACATATTCTAAAAATTTATTCAAGTTTGGCTTGTGTCATGGCGTTTAACAGTCTTGCATTGATTCCTCCACGATATGTACTGGTTCGTTGTCAGATCACTGCTAAACGTAAAGTTTCGTGACTTTCATGATTTGTGTTCATTTTTTATTGTCTTGCAATATCTTTAGAAAACATTCATTAATAGAGTTTCAAATAAACGACTGAGTTCTAAAAAATTTGTAATATACTTCAGGATATTCACTTGGCGAAACGATTTTACGATATGGCAGCAGAAACAAGTGCAGATGCTTATATGCCAGTTAGTCTCGCTCTCATGAAACTTACAGCTCTCTTCTTAGTGGAATATTTTAAAGAGGTTGGTTTTAAAATACTTTGCACAAGTATGTAAGCTGATAGAAAAAGTACGTAATAAAGTTCTGCACTTTGGATCTTTATATTATTTTCATCATTTTAATGTAGTTATTGCACGCTGCTAATTTTGGCAAAGGAAAGTAATTTAATACTGATATTCTTTTCTATGCTAAATTCGTGGGAAATGGGTTTTGGGATTTTATTGCTTCCAAATTATATTTATGATAAAGCTCGTTATTTTTCAGAATTCTTTTGTAACAATGCTCGATTATGTTTTCGGTGAGAACTGGGACTTGTATGTGATAACGTTATTTCTTGGCTTAATAGTTGTGCTATGGGTCGGTTATAGAAGGCAAAGGCTTGTGGGGCTTGTGCATTAAGATATCAAGTTGGAGATACTTTGCAGATCTCTTCTTCAATATCTTTTGAAAGCATGGGATAACTATAATATTTGCCGAAATGCATTACTATAGATTTTTATTCACTTATTTCTTTTGCAGTTATCCAATTACATTTCCCTTTATTAAAATGCAAGATTAAATCAGTAAGGTACGTCGTGGACATATGTTACTCAATTCTTCACCCTTGCTGCATTGTTCAGATGAAAGTCACTGATTCGTGAAGAAATTTAAAGGTTATCCATTGTTCTTCAAATGCAGTATGACAGCCTCGGTATTATATTTAAGTTAATCTTATATTACTGGGATGCAAATTTTTTTATTGTTTTATTTGTACATGCTTTAAGCCAAATTAGCGGATACGGGTAAATGCATCGTACATTTAACACATAACAATGTTAACTTATTTCTTATTCACTTTCTTATCACTGATTTCAGTTGTTTCTTAATCTCATATTTATAGTCATCTATTTCGTTGTATTTTATTATTTTTATCATCCATATTTTTTAGGAGGTTCACTGTTTATAAAAAATAAAATTTTCCTAGTATTTTTTTGATTTTTACAGAAAAGGTACTTAATCCGAAGTATCATATATATATTTGCATTTTTATTCACATTAAATTGAATGGAAAGTTATAAGACTGTGTGCTGTTATTTATACAATTAATTCATTTATGCATGTTGTGGTTTACACTTTTACGTATAAATTATCGTACTTGAAAATGCATTATTGCATGGGAAATAAGTAGAGGTAAAACATTAATAGTTAGTTTCATGATGTGATCAATTTGAAGTGAATGATTATTTAAGTATTTGTATTTTCTCACATTTTATTTCAGTTTATAAGGGAAAGTGATTAGTGTGATGCCATTTTAACAGTACGAAGAGTTGAGATAGTTCGGACATAGGTAACACTTTCTATGCGAAATGGCGTCACTAATCCCGTTCAGTCAAATACGGCACAATACAGTCAATTTCTTCATGAGAAGTTTGCATTTTCGTGAATGCTTTTAATGAATCTTTTTCTATGTAACGGTTATTTGGAGAGGGAGTCAAACTGCAACTGATTTTGTGATTTACTATGCCCTTATCCATAATAAGTTGATAACCTGCAGCTCATATTTAGAACCTGCTCGGGAATTGTGGAAGACGGTTACATCACTTTCGCCAGCTGGTATTAAGAAAGGGCGAGCCAAAACTCGCCAAAGTGTTTTAAACCTTCAAAAGTTTTACCGAATCGGTGCCGGTAGGTTCATATTATGTTTACCTCATGCGTTGGAGTGCAGTATGTATATTGAAAATCAATTCATTTGGACTGGGCTCTTCAGGTCCTATAAAAATAAAGTACCCTGGTTTGAATGCTCCTGTAACCGTACCAAATGATGAGCCAATGGTGGTGATGGAGAAAACAAAGGAAGAAATCGATGCTGTTGAAGAACGTCTGAAAAATATCATAGCTACCCGACCTTCGTTAGTTGCTTCCTGTTATAATGCATATATAAATTCAAATGATGAAATTGTTGAATAATTTGGTTTTACTTTCTTTAGATTACAATTTAAACTTCCTAATTCAAATTGTAAATTTTGCAGGAAAAAAAGAGTGGTAGAGAAGTTGCATCCATTGGAACGTGGTTTTGCTGGCACTCGAATTGAAGGTCAGAAATTGGGCTCACCACCACCTGTTGATGATATTCATTTTGATGATTTTCAAACTTATTGCCTCCAGGTATGTTTTGTTATAGATCTAGTTAGCAAGTTTGCAAAGATATGCTTGATTCTGGCATTAGAAGGAGATGGAGGAGTCGTATCCAAGTTAAAGAATGTTAGAGAATGCTGTATAGCGATAATAAAGCTGGCTATTTTAAAGTGATGATTAATTTCCGCATTAATGGCGTTGATAATAGCTCGTGATACTATGAAGTAAGAATCTCTTGATATGCTACTCTGTTTTTGATTATTAAATTTATTTAAATTCTATTTTTTTTATTTATTGCAGCTACGGAGAACTACCAACATGACATCATACGGTCGACAACACACGATGTCAGCTTTGATTATCACGGGTAACGGAAATGGTCTTGGTGGTTATGCAATTGGCAAAGCTGGTCTGAAACATCATATTCGTGCTGTTGTGAACGGCATGAAGATGGCATCAAGAAAATTGGTGTATGTGGAACTTTTAGAGAACCGCACAATTTATCAAGATTTCTATGCCGAGTGTCGTGGCACTCGTATTTTTGCTCAGAGAAGGCCAAAAGGTTTTGGCGTAGTTGCTCATCCGAGAATTATGAAAATTTGTGAGGTGATGTCCATTTTGAAAAAATTTTCCAACTTGATACCATTTTCGCTTTTACTGAGTTTGTTGCAATTCCTCGAATCACCATTTGTCATTTATAGTTATCTTTTAAATAAAAAAATTCTTTTGTTCGCATGTGGTAATCTTTTCGTTTTATATGAAAAATTTTTATTCAGGTAATTGGTATCAAAGATCTCGAGTGTAAGGTGGTGGGTTCTACCAGAAATTACATCGCGCTCACCCACGCTTTCTTTGTAGGTGAGTTTACTGGTTTATTGAATGAAAATCGCAGAATAATTTTGTCACTTAACTTTTTCTAATTTAAAAAAATAGCGGAAAGTCATACTTAAAATTGTATTGTCCAATCTTGATGTGTAGAATCTTAGTAGTTGGTATATCTTTTTTAATCCCACTCTTTTGTGCGTTTCTAATATTATGTGTAACCCCAGTTTCGTTAATACCGAAAGCGGATAGTGGATAAATTCAAGAAGTGAAATGATTTCTGCGCTGGAAACGATAGACATGAACAATTTATGATACAACACAATGCGATATAAAGGGGATTTATATATGATTATCTGCAGTTTTTTCTCTGAAATTTAATGTTAATTGCTAGTTCTTGAATGACAATATTGATGTGATGTTTTCTGAAATTTTTTCCATTTTTCGGTCATTGTCTCTTCTGATTTCAGCCATAAATTGTGAAGATCAAAATCGGAAACTTTATGTGATCCCAATTACTTTTATATGTTCTCAGTTATCCTCCTTGCAATGCCCGAGATACGTGATAATTCATAGCTCATTAGTGTCTCTCAGTGTTTCTCAAAAAAATTTTTCAAAATTCGGGTTGAGAACTATAATCCAATTTTTGATTGGTTGGATCAAATTTCGTTAAGTTTATATAAGCTGTAGACCTACCTCATCATACTTTTGATTTGTGTGTAATGTTTATTTAATACTACTTGACATGTAGTGCATCATGTTTTCATTGAATAGTTTTTGAGTGCTTGATTTAGTGGCGAATATTTTACTCATTCAATTCAGAAGAAAATTTGATTAAATTGAAATGATACCTTTCTTCATTTTCGCAGAAAGTGCTAGCTAAAAATGTGGAAGATGCCACTGAGACTTTTTTTGTAAAGTTGAAATCTGATTATAAATAGTAGGTATTATCCACTACTACACGTTCTTTACTCAACTTTTTGTTGAGGGAGTAAAAAGTTTATGGGTTTAAATTCACATTCTCAAGCCATAGAGTGGACAAGCTAAATAACAAGTTCTAAGTAATTGTTCTCGAAGTCTCATTAACTATGTTACAAGTTTGCTAGTTCGATATGCATATGCTTCCACATTTTCATAACTTGGTTTCCCTGCATTTTATTTTTAATCATTTTAAGATCTACAGCGAATTTGTAATCATTCTGAGAATATAACTCGGGAACTGTTTTCAGTAAAAAGATGGATCTTTTGTTTGGAATCTGTTTGTTTTATTTTTATTGTTGTCGGTATTTGAATGTGATTGTTTTCAGGTCTTTTAAATCAAGAAACCCATCAACAGCTTGCAGGACGTAAAAAGTTGCACGTTGTTGAACTTTCTCCACATAGAAGATATTTTCCTGTCAAGGTTGCCTCTCCTTTGCAATCAGAATTAAGAACAGAGCGAGATATTGAACCTAAAGAAGTGAGATCAATTATTAGTTATACTATCTGCATAACATGGGTGATCAGAAAGTTTTGTTGCAAGAAATCCTTTTTTGAAGACTCAATTAGTCTATTCTTTTACTTCCAGAAATGGGCTAGTTGATAAAATAAAGGGAAAATTATTATTGTTGAGAAACTTGATATTTTCAGAAATTATTGCTAAATGATTTTTATGGCGAAGGACGTTTGCCACTGATCAAAAAGCGGGTACCATTCTATGCAAATCTTCCAAATCATCTTCTTGCGGAGGCGCTCAAACACCGCTTCCGAAATAGGGATAAAGTATTCATTTCCGTTTTCATTAATCTTTTTATTTTTGAAGTAAGTGCAAGAGCAGTAATTCTTTGTAAACTCAAAGAAAGAAGTGCTCATTTAAATTAGTATTCTTGATTGAAGCGGTAACTTTTAATTAGCTTACGATATGTTTCATCAATGATCAAACTACAAGTTTGCCGTTTGACTAAAAAAAACAGTTATTGTTTTGTTTTTATTTTTCTAGAGCATGATACGGTTGATGGCCGATGATGTTATACTGCGCTGGACTCGTGATGCACGCCGGAAATGGGCTGAAGAAAAACACCAGGATATGATAAATGGATTAATTCCGTTGCCTAAAGGAATTGGGTTGTCGGATATTCTGTCAAAGTCTGAAGAAAAATGATTATTGTATGGATATTATTGAGTGTATTTTTTTTCATTCAGTTGACCGTACTAACTACAAAATGTTTTTTTCTCATAAATGGTTTGTTAATACATAAATATTCCCTATGTTGAACTTGTAAAAAAGTTTCTGAAAGTTTCCAATCATTTCATAAACCTATTTTCAATTGTTTGTTGTTTACTGATCCAATTATAGTTTCATCCGCATACTCTCTTGGCGAGCAAGATGATCATTTCTAAGACCTTCATAACATTCTTAGCATGATAAATGAATTGAATTGCAGCGCTTAATGAAAAATATTTTTATCTCATTAATCTGTGGTCACTGTCTTCCTCACCACTCGTTTCACATACGATCCTGAAAATCCCATTCTTTGAAGTCATATTCAAAATCAGTAACGAAGGTGTGGGTGATACTGCCACTTCAAAAATTATTGTTAAGCCCTATACGAAAAATACATAGATTAAAATTTTCTACGTAGTGACGTAGAATGTCCATGAATATCCATATCCATATAAATATGAATATATTGAACATATGAACATATAATGAACATAATATAAATATATGAATAAATAAACATGAATATCCATGAATCATTAAGCTTAACTATTGGATTGAGAATTGTTTACTGAACGTTAGGTTTCTACTTTTTCGACGGTCTGTTACACTGTCAAACATGTAGAAATCCTAACGTTTAATAAAAGTGAGATGGATATAACTGTTGGTAATCATAGTTTTTGTTATTGCCAAATGTCGAGGAGTAAAAAAGCTGAATAGTTTTTAATGTGATTGTCAGTCGTAAGCAGTTCAAATTATTAAGTAAAGGAATGGATGAGTAAAAGGAAGTAATGACCGATGGAGAATCATCTGCTTTGGAACCAAACAGATGGTTTGGTGTTGTAAGGAGCTTTAACTACAGGCTGACCAGTAGGCATGATTACGAGTGAATGCTGTATATTGATATTGGCATGCTTTGAGGAGATTGCATACCTAAATGATTGTCGGTAAATAAAGTTAGTTGGAAATGCATACACACAAAGTCTATTCTATTAGGTGGAATTTCGTACCTCTGAAAGATTGTTAAGATTATAAGATAGACCTCCAAACATCGTTGATGTGGTCTAGGCTGTTTTTTTTTTAATGTTATATCTTACTGATAATGTGGCAATATTTTATCAACATGTACGAGTATTGACATTTTTCGAAGTAATGATACATGAAACAATATCATCCATATCTTTGCTAATAATTCAGAATAGTTCTCGAAAATTGGAAATGTTGCTTGATCGTTTTCAGGAATGTATAAATGAAACTCGTGACAAAGGAAGGCTGTGACTTCATAGTTCGATGATACGGAACCATTATGTTAAACTTCATTTCATCCAAAATATCATGAAGATTTTTCTTGGAAATTGAAAAAATTTCTTAGAATGTAGGCAATAATTGGTAAAACCAATTGTAGAACTTCTCGCTTATTCATTTCTTTTAATTGACTTTTCTCTAGCGTTCCATCTGGTGTGTTCTGTTTACTCATAAATATTTAGTATTTTCCCCATGCCAAATTTTAATTTCTGCTATATAACAGGCACTTTTTTTTCACATAAATTTACAAATTTTATGATCTGAACTAATCATTTCTAATTACGATTTCGATAGATAATTCAAATTATAATAATCTAAAATGATTACCGATCTCGACAGATAATTCAAATTATAATAATTTCGGGTAATATACTTCCACTACTATACGAAGAGACATAATTTGTGAGATAGCTGCAAGATTAGATTATCCTCCGAATGAGGGATTTGTAGATTTCAAAGTGAGTCGGATTGCAAATTGGTCTCAGTTGTTATGATGTATGAAGGAGTAAATGAGTTAGTTGATGTGAAGTAACTGTTTTTCAGTGGTCAAAACAAAAATGGCGGATACGAAAGCTCTACCTGTGTTCGCATTTACAGACGATCGAGTACAGTTGCAGCAATTGCGTGCGTATATGAGAGAGCACGGCTCGTCAATGAATGAGGAGGGTCTGTTCACATTTTTAATGTAATAAAGGAAGAATTCATGATATCACATTTATCATACGTATATCATACACACTAAAGAAGGCAATTGTAATTTTCAGGACCTGCTGATTTCAGTGAAAATTTGGAAGAGTTGGTTAAATCAGTCGCTGTTTTGGGTAATTTGGAAAGTGAGAAAGAAGTGGAAATGATTTTAAATTCGATATCGTCGCTTATTGTCGTACTTACACCGGAAGCAGCTGAGAAAATAATCAATGAATTTTGTCAGCAACTATCATCGGAAAATTTTAAGGGCACTGGCTGGAATAGCAATGTGAGTTGTTTCGTCTATTCATTAATTATCTTATTGCTACTATAACTCGGTTTTGTAACAGTGGAACTGTTTGCAGAACTCATTTTTAGGCTTCCTGTATATTAGCATTGTACTACATTAGCATCCACTGATGAAGTTGTAAATACCACATCACATTCGAATTCATACTGCAACCAAATGGTGTAATGTATTTTCGATTTAGTAGAAGCTTTAAAAGAAATATTATGAATGATTCGGCAAGTATTTATCCTTCGTACTGCGATGGTTCAAACAGTTAGAAATGAGAATGGCTGATCCGTTTTATTTCGATGCTACGATTTATGGCAAATTTTCAGGCATCATCAGCTGTTCGAACCCTTTCAAATTTATTTTTTGCTTTTAATAAACATCCGCGAGTGCAACATGCTCTTTATGTTGCCTTGGTAGCTTTGTGCGGACGAGCACGAATTATCGGCGATTTGGATACAAGTACTGAGAAAGTAAATGAATACATTAGTCGTTGGTCATTGGATCAGAAGCAACAACGCAGTCTTTTGCGGTTGATTCATTGGGCTCTCATCCACGACGGAAGGGCCGATCAGGCAGCTAAAGTTAGTTTGATAAAGTTTATGGCAATAAGACAAAAATATCAAGTTAGCGCGAAAGTAGTTGTGATTATGGCTAAGAAAACCGTGTTCGGGATTTGACGATGTATGGAAAACATTTTCTACAACTTAATAGTTGTGGAAGCATTTTTCCTATAAAAATTTTTGAAATGTTTAAGAAGTAAACTCTGCAACTAAATTCATTTTAACTTATAAAAACCGCAATTTCTTCTGTGGGTTCATGATTTCTTAAACAGTTAATTGATTAGGTTTCATAACACAGTTAGTGATACTTTTCCTTTTTTTAGACAATGACAGCTTTACTGAGAACATATACTGATGCTGATGCTGTATCCGCCATTGAAGATGCTCGTGAATGTGTAAGAACAGCAATCGTTGATCCGAAATCGTTCAGTTTCGATCATCTGTTACGGCTCTCTGCAGTACAGTTGCTAGAAAAAGTACGTTTATTCAAAAAGTCATCCATTAGTGAAAATGCATGCATTAGTTTGGCTTAAAATTCAATTGCAAGTATAATTATCAATAGGACAGCGTTTAGTTATTTAATGCAAGTATAGGAAAGCATAATTTTCTGTCTACTTCATCTTTCTATTCATTTGCTATCACTTCATTAATAAAGTAATGAATGGAGTGATCTGTTACTTAAATGACAAAAATATCTTTATTTATCTGTTGTTATTTAATGTATTTTCAGAGTGACCCATTGATGCACGAAGTGTTAAAACTGTTTTCTCAGGGTACTTTGAAAGATTATCAAAACTTTGTTATGAAGCATCCAACTTTCATTAGTGAAAAGTTGCACGTTGACGATACAGTTTTGATTAAGAAGATGCGGTTGTTAACGCTAATGGATATGGCTGAAAAAAAGACTGTAAGTTTTTGCTGATTGAGTAGAAAAAAAATAAAACTTTACGGCCATGTATATCATAAGTTTTTCTACTCATTTTGACTTTAAAGCCCAACAGTTTTATGAAATCAAGCATAATCAGTCTTAGAAATAGAATGAAATATTAAAAATAATATTTTTCTTAAATAAGAAAGCTTGGCTATATTTGATGCCAGATTATTTACAGGTAATATCTCTTCATGATTTATCGCTTGAAGTTGATATACCAGAGAATGAAGAGCTCGAGGAATTTATAATTGAAGCAATTAGAATAAATGCAATCAGCGTACGTTTTGTTTTTTTCTAAGTTTTAAAAACCTGATTGTGAAGCATAATTTGCCTTGAGAACTTGCTTAAAATATTTTGTTGCCCTAGTTGGTTTTTTTTGCATGACATATTCGTCCCATAGAAGTATGTGTTTCAGGGCAAGATAAATGAGTTAAAGAAAGAACTCAATGTGACGTCGCTTCAACATCGACGTTTTGGTCGTCCACAGTGGGAGCTCCTTCGAAAACGTCTTATTACATTAATAAGTAGCTTGAGTACATCACACGAAAATATCAAGAATGTGTATGCCACTAGTGGTACCACGTAATTTATATGTGCTTATTCTTATTCACTTTGTATTTTAAGATTTGGAATGTGATATTTTTTACCCATTATAAGGATTAAAGTTTGTCATAATTTATAAGCGAAGAATACAATAAGTGATGAATAAAGTTTGTAACGCTAATTCTTACCAAATAAAGGTTCGAAAAGTGACATTCTTAATCGTTTAAAAAGTACGCTGTTGTTGATAAATTCGTTTTGGTTGTAATTCGATAATAAACTTCATGTGGAGATTATTGTCGTCTTAAATTTGCGTTCGTTTGCACGACTTTATTTTTTACTTTTTATTGCGGATTGATTTCTGATTCTAAAGGTTTTGGGAAGGTCTGTAGTGTTAAGGTTTAAGGTTTTTTTTCTCATTTTATTTCTTTTGTGGAAGTATTCCTACGCATCTTAAAAAATCATTCAAATCTTATTTAAGGTGTCTCTGCAAAATCGTTGAATGGATGGTGGTGGAAGTGGTGCTGGGTCTTCTCAGGTAGAAGCTATTGATAAGGAACAAGTGTTTGAATGGATCTTGGATTTGAGTGATTCAAGTAAGCGGGAACAAGCACTGCTGGAACTGAGGTACTTCCCATCAATATTTGCTTTGGTCTGTAGTGAGCTTTAAGTTGTCATAGATCTTAATGTTTCCCTCTTCCTTTTAAGTTAGTATTCCAAAATTTCTAGGGTTCTATTGCATCTTATGGGTTCTCAAAACTTTAAACGGTATTCATTCTGATGAAATAAGATATTCTGATTTTTAATAGGTTGAAGATGCATTTAAATTTCTCATTGTGTGTAAAGTACAGCAAAAAGCGAGAAACGGTTCCTGATCTACCTTTATGGTTATGGTATTCATTTGGCTCGATGGCTTCTCTGCTGCAGGAAGTAATCTCAATCTATCCAGCAATTATGCCACCGACACTTACTGCAGGGCAATCGAACCGTGTATGTAATGCTCTAGCTTTGATGCAATGTGTTGCATCACACAAGGAAACTAGAAGTCCATTTTTGCAGGGTATTTTTCAAATTTTTGGAAGAGATCAGTGATAATTTTTAGATTTGATGATTTTTTAACGGAGTTTAGCGTAATTTTTCCGAGCTGCATTTTTGAAAAATATATGTTTTCTACTTTTTTTGCGATGCTAGCACTGATACCAGCACTATTTTAGCGTAGTTTATATTTCTAACAAATATATCCAGTATTAAATTTAACAATGACCAGCTTCTTTATTTTAAAATTAGTGACAGAACGTTATAAAAAATTGGGGATTGCTGTGAACATTTTTAGAAAAATCCGTTTTATGTAATAGATATAGTCACTACTAGTGTGAGGAAGTGGATAAGAGGATTGTAATAGGTAAAAAATAAGCGAAAGCAATCATTAAAAAAATTTAGTTCAAAAGATCGAAATGTTTAACTTGTTTTTTGTAGCCCATATTCCGTTGTTTCTGTATCCATTCTTGCATACAACAAAGACTTCGCGACCATTCGAATATCTCCGTTTGACGTCTTTAGGTGTCATCGGTGCATTGGTGAAAACTGATGAACAGGTAAATAAGTTGGTGAACTGTGAATCATTAAACTTCTAAGTTTATTTCCATGTTGTTATTCTAATTAATTTTGTTCAGTAGAATAATTCTTTTATAGGAAGTTATTCAGTTCCTGCTTTCAACAGAAATAATTCCGTTATGTTTGCGGATTATGGAAAACGGAACAGAATTATCAAAAACAGTGGCAACTTTCATTTTGCAGAAAATATTGCTTGATGATACCGGTTTAGCGTACATTTGTCAAACTTATGAGCGCTTTTCCCACGTTGCTATGATTTTGGTGAGGTCATAAATATTTAAGCCTCATGAGTGGCCTTGTGCATGCTAAGCATTTTTTTAATGTGGTCCAGAAGTTACATTGTAAAGATATGTTCATTGTTCATCAATTTCTGTCTTTCCTGTGTTGTACATATTCCGACTGACTGTGGTTTAGGGGAAGGTTTTTATACTATTCACGAATCTTCAAAGATAATCTGTAAGGATATGTTACCGTATTGCAGGGCAAAATGGTGTTGCATTTGGCTAAAGAGCCGTCACAGCGACTTCTGAAGCATGTTGTTCGGTGCTACAGTCGCCTTTCCGATAACCCAAGGCAGTTATTTCCTCCCATTTTGTCTAATTTCAGGTTATGACAAATATACATTCTTGATCTCTAAGTGAATCAAATTTCTCTTCTTTGCAAACGATGAAAAATCGCGTCTGGATTCCAATTCTCCAATTTTTGTTTGCAATAATTATTAATAATTTTCAGAGCGCTTCAGGCATTGCGACAGTGTTTACCAGATCAGCTGAGAGATGAAACTTTTACTCGAGTCCTCGCAGATGACAAATCGACCAGGCATTGGTTGAAACAACTTCTGAAGAATATCGGTAGATTTAATTTGTGCGCGTCGACTTCCTAAAACATATTACTGGAAGCAACCACTTGCTATTGACCTTTTGTTGTTTAACCATTTAGGGAACATAGAATGCTATTTTCAGGTTTTTCTGTGAGCCCTTGAAACAAATGTTGAAGTTTTTCAAAAATATTTGAGAGCAAGAAATGTCGAAGATGTCTTTGTACAAAGCAGATTTCTATAAGCTGATTGCATGTCGTTGATCGATGAAGTCTGTTCAAATTCTTTGATGCAGTTGATATTATTTGTGATGAAAATATGGATTTGTACAGGATGGTTTTATTTTTACTAACATCCAGACTTTTGTTTTCATAACATATGATCATCGAATTTGCCAAATAAGGCAATTTTATTTTGCACATGTTAACAATTGAAAAGATCCCAAAAGTTTAGAGAAAAGTATCAAAAGCAGCAAATAGTGGCAATTGTCGAATCGCTGGGCTACAACATACACGAAAACTTTTCCACTAAACGCCCGATACAATGCACTGTCGTTTTGTTTAAGGTTGCTAAACTTCTCATTTTGATAATTCATGTGTATTACTTCCATCCGTAACTGGTTCCCATCTGACAGTACATTTCGATATTCGAAGATCCTTTTTGCTAGGATAAGCCACTAATAATTCACCGCTGTGTTGTTTGATCTAAAATGAGTGTGGGTTGAAAAAGTTGTGGGTTAAGCGCTAGTAAGAAATTTAGAATAATATCTCCGGAAAAAGCGAAATGCTCATGTAAACGGTTAGTTTATTTGAGTAAGTTAAAATAAGATATATGCACACACCTTAACCTGTTCAATAACTAAATCCGTCAAACATCCTTGCATGACAGTTTCTTCGATAAATGTTTCCATTATTCTTAGGCAAGTATCTTCTGTTACAGTGCTTGTTACTTCTATCAATATATCCTTTGTATCCACATCAAGCTGCAATCAAGCATTGCAAAAGAGGAGCCTTACATTAATCTGTGTACTCGCATAAATATGCAAAACAGTATGTGACCTTTGTCTCCTCGCAATTCGTTACGGGCGGCACGCTGATAACTAAGCCATCCGCATCCATAAGACATGGATAAAGGGGTAGTTTTTGAATGAGATACACGTACCTGGAAATGTCTGCGTTAAGATTTCCTGAAAGGCACATTTATTCACTTCACTAAGCTCCATAGTTGCAGAAGATGTACAACAGAATGAGAATATCGCTTCAATCTTACTTACTCAATTTAGTAAGTAAAAAAAGTTTAAAAGTAAGAATTTATCAACCTATGAGTATTTGATACCACGTTTCGTTTTTCCTTTTTTCGAATTAGTTCTGCTTCATTTGTCAAATTTGATAATAGTTCTCTCCCAGAAATTTTTTTCTGTCGATGTAATGGTGTTATCTGTAACAATAAGCCCCATAATTTGAAAAACAAATTTTGAGAAAAAAACGTAAGCTACCATTAATACGTCAGGATCAACGGCTCCATAAATTAGAGGGGGTCGAAGCTTGCGGAAGTCGTGAGTTCCGATGCTTGCAATAGTCCTCTCTTCACAAACAGATGAATGCAACTTATTCTGAAATATGAGTTGGGTTAAAGGAACATCTTAGAAATCGTGTGCAATAAGACCTCAGTCATAGATTTCTTTCTGAAAAGCGTGTAAATGAGAATGTACACATTCATAACTATCATGACAAGGCAGAAAGAAGTTAAAATACCTGAATATTCAATAACTGCTTCACTTTTTCTGCATTTAATGAGCAGTACTTGAAAACGCAACAGACAATAAATGGACGAATTTCCAATGCTTCTTTTTTTCTTTCAACCAAAGCCTGGATATGAAAATTTTGAATATCATCACTTAATTGGTTTCGTATTTTTTCCGACTACAAAAACATATTTTCCGAAATCACTTACATTACTAATTCTATAATTGACTGTGATTACTGAAACATTTGATACACACTTGTCTTTGTCAATGTTGCTTTGTGATGAGTTTGATTTGGATTCTTTTTCATCGCTGTTCCTTATCGGTGTTTTTGGTGCTTTCTTTTTCAAGTAATCTATTACTGCCAAAGTCTTGTGCCTTGGATCGTCGATTAATTTTTTAAAACGATTATCCGAAAAGCTGCAATTATTATTCATCTATTCAAAATATGAAATTAAATTCGAACAAACCAAACATAAACAATGAGAATGAATTAGCGTTCCTACTTGTTGTCAGCAAGTTCTAGCGTTTTTATCTTTTTGCAGTTGCAAAACAGGAATGGGAGATCGACGATTTCGTTATCTGATAAATTTACTGTCTTCAAGTTGTCGTTAAGTGAGTTCACTTCGATAGGCAATTCCCTGATATGATTCGAATTAAGGATCAAAGTGTGCAACTTTGACAGACTAGGGAACGAAGTTGGGAACTCAGTTAATTGATTATGGGAGACATCGAGATGTTGCAGAGAAACAAGACCCGACATGTCAGGTAACAATGAAATCTGAAAGAAGGAAAAATGTGTAAACTGCAAACTACTGCCATATGTATTTGTGTCATCGAGAAACTTTTATAGTAATTACCAGAAAACAAAAGTCGGGAATCGAAAATAAGAACAAAATTGTAGGAAGTGTAAAATTATATAGCAGTGTAAAAATATTTTTCAGAAACGTGGGAAATAAACATTCATATGTACCTTGTTGTGCGCAAGTAGGAGCGTTGAGAGATGAGACAAAGAGCCAATTGCAGCTGGAAGCCGATCAAGCTTGTTTGTTGATAAATCGAGAAATTGCAATATTTTCAAGTCACCAATATCCTCCGGAATATGTACTAAAGCATTACTATGTAATATAAGCTTCTTCAGTTTCGATGCCTTCCCCAAGCAAGTGTGCAATATGATGAGTTCAAGCCGAGTAAGTTCAATATAGTTGAGTGAAGTATTCTAAAACAAAAAATGTAAACGAAATTAAACTAATTCAAAATATATCCTTTGTTATGAGATCCGTACTTTTTTTACAGCTTGAATACGAAAATCTAAGGACTAAGGACTAAAAACTTTCAACAGTGAAACGTATAAATGAAAAGGAAATTGGCAACAAAAAGTAGATTCATTTTCATTATAGGTAAAATTTACTGGAGCAAAAATTTCGCGTTGCAACTGTTCATCGTTGATGTTTGGATTTCGATCTCCAGCTGGAACAGAAGTCAAGCTAAGTTCGCATCGGCCTTCCTCTATAACTCGCTTCAATTCCGGCCATTCCAACAACGGATCATTATCCGACATAATACTGTAATTGAATTCCAGTACTACTTGCACTCTATCAGAGTAAAGTAGCACTACGAAAATATTAGCACCAAATAAATTGAGAAATGCACAAGGCTGTTTGACAGATCCTGTTCAAGTTAAATAAACTTCAAAATTCTTAACAAGCAATTCAGACTTAACCAAATATAAAAAATATTGCTCTTCGGATAAGTCAATCGGCATTGTCTTTAAAACCACTCGAAGAAAGTCAAAATGAATAACTCAAAAGTTTAGTTACTATAGCATAGTTTAATGCAAATTTCTTAAGGTCACAATTCAGTTTAATCATTGTATGACATATTCAAGATCTTAAAAAATAAAAAAAATAGAAAGCTGGTCTGAACTTTTTACTAGGCCTATTATAAGGGCCGTCATGGAAAATTTTAAAAGTTACGAAGAAAAAACAAAATAATCCAAACATTTTACTCAATCTTGCAAAAATAATTAATGGCAGCAAAAAAAATTGCTTAAAACATACGATTTAAATGAATTAAATTTTTCTTTAATATACATTCTTCATTAAAACCCAAAAAAAATCGTTGCATAAAGTACCAACAGTTTGGTATTTACAACGTATGCGAGCAAATCGAAAATGTAACACAACTAATCAACGCTGAACTGGTTAGAAATGATTTGGAAATTGGCATTGTGATCGATATTCTTACCGCTATTCTTATAAGGAAGCTATTATTTCGTCATCTAACTGGAGAAGGGATTCCAAGTATGCATCAAAATAAGCCATTTTTATGAGAGTAACTGACAGTAAGTTTTAAATGCGATCTTTAAATGATACTCTTATGAATGCATTAACAGCCGTTGAACAGCATAAGAAAAAACGCATTAATTAGGAGAGGCAGAGAAGGAGTAGAAAGTATGCAAGATACTGTGGTACTAGAGAGTTATGGATTAAAAAATTCGCGAAGGAACATAAAATATGGCGAATAAAGACTGAAAGTAGAAGGAAAGCATTGTTGGTGACACGAAGAGACTTGAGGTTGAGGAAAAGCTCCGAGCGCAGTGATGGAGGGAAATGCGTTCAATCTTTGGCTATTTCTTTGGCACACACTTTTCTGTCTGATCCTTTCTTTCGTGAAAACAGTTGGAGGCTATAAAATTGAGTCCGCTCGATAATTTAGGAATTTGTCACTCTGAATGTTTTCATTTCAATGATGTCAGTTTTACTTTCAGATTTTATTCGTGTCAGTTTCATTTTCAATTTTGCTTTAAATTCAAAATTCAAATTTTTTCATAAGGTAATGTTCGAGACGTTAGTGCTGGTCCTGTCCTTTTGCTTTATTTTATCTTTATTATCTTTTCGTATTTTATATTTTGTGCGATGCTGAAGTTTGAAAACAAACAAATGGGATTTACACTGTCTGTGAGAGGGAATTACCACTGGTTATTCCATCATTTAAGGAGTTAAGACAATTATTGTGGAGAGCATTTATTTCATCTTGCCATTCATTCCTTTCTTTTTCCTCTATAAAAATATTTGGTTGCTTACTTTATGCAACACTATACAATTGTTATCATTATACATATAATGGGAAGATTGTGCTGATAAGCAGCCCTATGTGATATGCTTTCATTCGACATCGAAAATTTAATGGCTTTCTAACCTTTGCAATGCATGGTTTTTCAATCACTCAATAATATTTCCAAAAAAAGAAAAAAATTGCAGAAAATTTGGCGTAATAACTGGCGCGATTAATAATATTATTATAAATTATGAAATTTGTAACCGATAGGAACTGAACTATTTCATCTGTGGATGATCATTGGACAGTGCTCAAACAGAATCACAGACGTGTGGAAAATGTGTTACTGGATTTAATCCATGAAAAAATTCTCCATCGTTGTTATTTGTGTTCCGTTTCCTATACCGTCCATTGTATCCGATAACACCATTCAATCGCCATTCACGATTGTCGTGTTTGTGATTTTGTCGGTTTTTTCTGATATGATGTCCGATTCCATGATTGTGATAGTTATGCCCGTGTTTACCTTCGTGATTATGATGACCATGCTGTATGTGGTCGTGCCAGCCGGTTGTACCAGCCTCTTGACTGTGATAACCATGATTGTGATCAGGCCACCTGTTACCATGATTTGTATGTAGATGCCCACTACCGCCTTGTACATGATCTCTGTTTCCTCTGCGATCATGATGATCATGATTATGTAGATGCCCACTACCACCATGTACATGATCTCTGTTTCCTCCGCGATCATGATGCTCATGATTGTGATTATGATGTTGGTGACCATGATTATGACTGTGACCGCCCATATTGTGGTTGTGCCAACCATTGTGCATATGTCTTTGGCCCTGCTAAAAGAACTGAAATATGGCATTCAAATAAAATGCTGAAAATAATATCAAAATTTTTAATTTTACAAATTATTTTGTGAGAAAATTAAACAGAATGCTTAAAGTATATAATAAATGAAAGAAGTAGCTAACGTGTGTGACAAATTGATTAAAAGCGTCAGACCAACGTTCCATTTCCTCCATTTCGGCTTCTGTTAAATGCCGCTTGAATACGCCGTTAATAAAAAGTTTGTCGTTCTGAATTTTTTGATTCACTGAGATGTATTAGTTCTCTTTCTTCACTTGTAGAATTACAAAAAGGAATAAATGCTATTAACTTTTTTTGCAAGAGGAAAAGATGGAATCCATTTCATTTTATGATTTTTAAGTTTTAGGAAAAAAAAGAAGAGCGCTTTTTTCAAGTATATGTCGGGTATCTTAAAATGAATTTTATATTGACTAAGTTGAATCATCGCCTGCTTGGTCAAGATGCATTAGTCATCGTTTTTTGTAGTCATATGAGTTAAAATTTAAAGAAATTAGAGTTCACAACATCAAATAATAAATCCACACTTGAATAGAACAACTTTTGCCGTCCTTATTAAAGACATAGCTGTTACCACTTGGGATTGACGCTGATTTGGTTAATTTGATGATAAGAGAAGAGATGAACCTGAAGAAGGCATTTATACATCCAGTTATAATAAAATTTGGACCAATCTACTGTTGTATTAAATTATGGGCCAGCAGGATTCACAAAATTTTGCAATAGAACATTATCAAATGTGAAATGAGTGCAAATGGAGTAGCATCCAACCCGCTCATAATAACACTCAGATTATAGGCCGCCTAATCGACTTCTATCAATAATATTTGAGTATCGTTTGAACTTGGATTGCATGAGCAAGAGAAATGAGCAACTAATGAACAACTTTGATCGTCGGAATACGGGGAAAGTTAAAGTTAATTATTGATTAAAAAAGAAACGAACCAAATAAATGGTAGAATAATTGTAAGATAAACCATCGAATATGTAATACGTTAGTTAATTAAATGTTATGTTGTTTGCTAACAAGCATTTATTCATCTATTATTGCTTTGCAAAACAACTACCGGTTTATATACCGGGTGTTTATATATCGGGTGTTATATGCTAGTCCAATCTCAGCCAAAGATTTTCTCCTAATTTACCTCTTTGAATGAAATTTTGTTAACATCAATAAAGTCGACAATTTCAATAGGTTCATATATGCTTTCTCTCCTTCATCTCCACCAACTGTTATACCTTTCTATCTATATTTAAAACAGGTTTGCAAAAATTAACATGATGCCAAATTTAGATTTCGAATTATCGCCAACATCTGACAATCCGAACTTTGGAAAATTAGAACAAAAAATAACTATTCTTACTGCTAGACATCAATTGTTGCTAACGCTCAGCTTCGTACAATATTCTCCATCTCATTATTTAATTTAAAGGGATTCTGGATGATAAGATTGATTTATCCTCTCCAAACTGGAATAGTCAATGAGTCGATCATTTTTGCTTATTTCGGAGCACCATCATTTCCACACTTTACATCTAATAACATACAAAGATATTTGGGAAAATTTTTGAGGGAAGGAGTATTTAGTAATGAAACATTATAAATGTTCTTTCATAAATGCAATCGAGCACTCAAAGCAGACTATCTGCTCAGTGAATCATAACTTCTATAAAATCTCCAAATTCTATTTTCGCCATTTTATTTAAAATCCTTTATATAATCTGCATTGAACAGTGAGTGAATTAAACCTAATTATCTAATAAAATATCCAATTTCCTTAAGGTGTATTATATTAAGTTATTATTAATTATTAATTTCAAGAATTATTAATTCCTCTGAAAACATTTTAAGATTCTTTATTAAAATACTTTAAAATGGTTGTTTAAAAAAAATGTGAGTCTTCTTATCATTCAACTATAAACTAATCAAATCATTTAATTTAGTGGGATGAAGTTTAAATTCAAAGATATCTTATATAAAATCCATAATATGAGTTAGTTTTCGATTCTAAAATTATTTCAATTGTTTCAACGATTTGATGTCATTTAATTGGAACTGTATTAAACTTTCTTTCCAACCATACGAAACAGTTGAAATTTCATAATTGAAAATATTCAAAAATTAGAAAAAATTAATTTTTGCTATAAAAATTAAAAATTTTGGTAATGACTTATGAATTAAAATTTTCGATGTAATTAGCAAAACCAATATAATGCATTATCATTACAAGCTTAACTGAACTTTGCGCTGTTTTCGGATACCCGACAATACTGATATGATAATTCTTTGCATTTCCAAATATCATTTTTACAACTTCCCCATTTTTTGATGAATGTAAGTCAAACGTATTCTATGCTTTTTTTAGTACTGAAATTCTGCTGAATTCAAAGATTTAATTAAAAGGATGTTCATTCAATCGTTTGCAATGGTATGACATAAAATTTCGAAACATAATTTTTTTAGTAATAATGATTGGATTGGTGGCAATTTTATTGGAGGTCAGTTACTGTTAGTGACCTATTTTAAACATTTTTGCAATTTTTTAAAATGCCTTACAAAATCAAAATTCTTTCTTTAAATTCCTTCTCTAATCTTTCCAATTATTCCTTTCTCTCTTACTTTTTTAAAAAATGATATATTTTAGAAAAGAATTTGAATTGACATTTTAGAAGGATTGATGAATTTCGATCAAATTATTGGATTTCTATTATTTTTTCTCGTGAAAACAGGTAAAAAGTCATATCGTCTTTGAATATTTATTTAAATATCATTTGAGGATATTATATTAAGAATCTTTCTTCTCAGAAAGATTACTATATGTAATAATTGCAAGAAAAACTGCGCTTTTTATCCTTAAAAATTGAAATTAACAGATTTTAATTATGAATGAAATGAATTTTGATTTTAGTATGTGGTCAACTTGCAGCAGTTTTTTCTGAAGTAACACAAAGCGGTGATTGTTCAATTTGGAGCACCTGGGGACCATGCATATGGCCCGATAAGGAATTCAATGTTCGCTTTATTAACTAGTTTATTCTTTTTTATATTTCAATTCTATGTCGATTTCCAAAATTTATTTCAGCCTTCAAGATCTAAGATCGTCAAAGAGCATTCTAGGAAGCTCGATGATGCAATTTTGCCATATATGACAAAAAGTAATGATTGTCACAAAACTTTCCACTTTATCCTACTAACCACAAATTCGCATTAATTTCTAGCATAAGCTGACGTTAAAAATGAGATGACAAGACCGATTTATGGAGTTCTATTCTCTTCCATGCAAGAATAAATTTTTTAGAAATCTAATTTACAAAACACATTTTTCGAAATTTTCGAGTAAAAATTCATTCGTTATAGATGACATATATGAATCAAATATCTCCCATCTGTCAACAACATTGGTTTTATAAGCTCATAAACCAACGATACGGGAAAGCATTGCAAAGTTTTTACTCCTACATGAGTTCTGTTCTCTTCAACAAGAGAGCATGTGGAATGTGTTCATACAAGCAGAGTTGTGGTTACGGTGGCGCTAAGGAATGTAATCTTAGTCCATTTGAGTAGGTCCCTTATTTCCACCACAAATTGCGGCGTTTTTTTAAACTTTTGGTAACAGTTACTGATACTAATAGCGTCATTAAAGACATTTACTGTCATAGTTCTTCTATTAAAGTGGCTAAATGATATGCAATTCCATTATCATTCTATTACCAAAATTAAAACCAAGCATTTTATCAACAGAAGAAAATATTAATGAAAAAAACTACAATCTCTTTAGCACCCATTCTAGCATTACTTCATTGTCACCACTGCTGCTCTACTTATTTTCATTATCATCAAAATTATTATAATACGATTCGGTCCATGATACTAAATGTCTAATCCGTATTTTGCACTGTAACGATTTATAATGTCACTGACTGAATAAGATCATGTTATGTGAACCAAAATAGTGTTAAACCAGATACCACTTCAAAATATGAATTTTACATTTTCAGAATACGCGGTGGACGACCATTTATTCCATTTTATGTATCCGAACGGATTTGCAATCAAAAGGATCTTTTAGGAGTAGATCAAATGGACAGTTGCCAAGTAGACTACAATAAATTGTCGGTAAGTTTTGGGATTTATAAAAATCGAAAGTGAGAAGCGCAGTACATAATGCAAGAGGCCTTCCACAAAATATGTAAATGAAGGCAACACTTAATCCAATTTCAGCTTAATAGCGGAGAGTGTAAATTATGGCCAACTGATGAGGTAGATCTCAGTCAAGTTGAACCAGTTTTCCAGAAAGAAATACGGAGGCTGAAGTGGTACGAATGTATTGTGCAAAACAAGCAAGTTTCTTGTTTTCTCCTAAAACCTTCATTTTATTTACCTTTGGTTAAGCAAATAACAAATTTAAATTACCCGCAATTATATGATTCTGATAGACTTTATCTGTCTATGTATTTCGTGCAGCGAAAGATATTAGCGATATCGTACCAACAAATGTCTTATTTCATCGTGAAAAGATTAGTTCGAAAAGGGTTGCCATTAAACTAACAGCATAATGAATCCTTCTTGATATTCTTTCTTAATTCTATATAAGATTGCATTTGTAGGATAAATAGAATGAAAAGACAGGAACATGAAAAAGTATGTCGCTGTTGCTGTTTTCCATTCCGGCCGAACCCCAAAACTTATCGATGTGAGCATATTCCGGACGCTCCAATAGCGCCTGGATTGGAAATGAAATGAAAGCTCATTATTATACTTATAATGTTGCAGCGCAAATAAAAGTGAAGTTAGTACCGGTATCAAAGAGTGTTGTTAAAATATCAAACAGTGAAGATACTCATAACATCATAATATAAAATAAGTAAAAAGTTGTTTGATTAAAAATAAGTAAATAAAGACAAAAGCGGAGGGAAAACTGCAAGTAATGTTCGACCAGCTTGAATTTAAAACTGTTTTTTGGGGCACAGTTAGATTTAAAAACTGGATAACATCAGACTTCAATGATGGTCTCAAAAATGCCGAACAACCTAATACTTGAATAGAAGTAGAATATGATAACAGTTTTTCGGAAAATAATTAACTTGAAGATCTGCACTCCTTACACCTCATAAAACTTCAGTTTGGCTTTTAACATGTGCTTATAAGAAATTTGCCACTTAGTACATCCATCATTCTTTTTTCCTCTTTAGTTTGGGCGGATCTGAAACTATTGACAGAACACTTTTAAGAAAATGTTTAATTTAAGCAATCAGAACAACTAATCGAGAATATCGTGGCAGAAAGAATTTAAATTTCTTACTTCAATAACGTCGTCATCTGCATCCACTTCGCAAATTGCACTTCGCTTTAACGTTTTTCGAGAATCTGATACAGTAATTACTTCAGTTGTAGCGCTATCAGTACCTATCGATAACTTGATAGGTGCTATTGAATTACCATACCAGTAAGGCCTAAAAAGGGCATACCTTTTTGTCTAACTATACGATTCATCCATTTAGCAATATTATAGCGATGTTACGGAGTTCGGTCTATTGTATTTATATAATAAGTTGAGTTACCGATTGAAATGACCAGCCATGAAAATAGTCTGAAAGTCAATAAAATCACACTGAAAAAAGAGATAGTATACCTAAAGTACTTTGATAATTTATCAACAAAATCTCTGCTACGTTTGTCTGTAGTATTTGGATAAGCGACCGCAGGCCTTAACAAGCTAAAAGCATCCTCTATTTCGGTAAGCGAACAATGGCCCGAATAAAATAGGCGGCAAAATCTGTTATTTTCATATCCCAGTGCACTGAAATTGAGCAGTTGTATAAGCTGCGATTTAGCGATTTAGAAATATGAATTTTCAAATCTATCTTACTATGTTTTAAATTTCGTCCTGAAATATTTATGCAGACTAACTTTTTCCAATTTATTACTAATGGTCTTAATGAATAGTGAACTAACTTTTTTTTATTTCTCCTCAAAAACCAAATTGCTGAGGGTTTTATTATTCGTACACTATTGTGATCTGGACGACACTGCCAACAGGTTGACATCTGAAAATTTCAAGCATATTAGACTGCTTTTACTATAAATTTTCCAACGATGAAATTCAATCATTTCACCTTTTGTTTGAAGTTGACGTGATCCTTTCTCTTTGCTACCACATTTTGCTTATTCTCATAAAAAACTTCTTCTGTTACACTCGGTTTTGTGCTGCATGCATGTACCCGAGTGTCTCGTGCAACCGGCGTTACACAGTCAGAAAGAAAATCAATTTCTGTAATATCAAGTGATTTACAAAAAGAAAGCAATACCAAAAATGAAATGAAAATCCTTCGAAAAAAACGAAAATAGTACCGGAAGCAAATAAAAATCACACACTTGAATAGATGCGATATTTCATCGTGGTTACATGACATTTAATACGGAGTTCATCCCAAATCGCTTTCAATAGAAGCTCATGGCCAAATCTACCTCAAATTAATATTATGTAATGATCACACATATTCGAGATACTCCTCAAACTAACGTAAGATTACAAAACAAAATCCTAAAAATTTCAATTCTACTCACCACACCACATTAAAACTTTATTATTTGAATCTTTTTCCAACCAATCCTTCACCATCTTAACACAAAGTGCACAACTTTGCTTCAAAGTTGGTATATTTTCTGCTCCCTTTCGACAGAATGTACTATCAAAATATAGTGCATCAAGACGTTTAAAACCAGAGCTGAAAAAATATAATCAGAAACGACCAAATGAAATTTGAATATTTTTTGGTAACTTTCATACAGGCAAATAATTAGCTATATATGATATATGAAATCCACCTGGTGAGTGGATCCTTGAGCGTGTCACAAGTGATCCAATCATCTTTTGATAAGCGACAATCTCCTGTATACAGCAGTCTAAAGCCATCATGAAATTCAAAAAGGATCCTAAATAGAATAAGAGATGAATTTAGGAACATTGACTATGGGGTTCGGATACAATTCTACATTCGACATAAGTTTTTTGCAGCTTAAAAACTTACATAGTAGAGCCTGGGATGTGCCGGGCATCCAGAAATGTAACATCAGCTGATGATGATGGGAGCAATGACTCACGTTGTTCGTCATCACAGATAGCAGTTATCGTGAATTTCTCGTTATAATTTTTAGGTACAATGTGGTCCTTAAATTTTTTGCAAACTGATTTTTTTGGTAAATATGAATAAATTATAAATACAAGACGAAAGCGCTTTCATTTTGGGAGTAAAGTCTCTATTAAATGAAAATCTGGTAGTCCACTTCGGAGAGTTGAACTTCGATACACTGTTTGTTGAAATTAAAATTAACTACTCTACTGTAATGGCCAGTTGTAAGAATATATCTAAAAATTAAATGTTTGTTTTTTACTAGCAGTCTTGAATAATAATGCTCTGAACTGAGAAGAGTTTTTGATATTTTGTGGCAGTAAAACGCAGCAAATTTTCCACTTATTATTGCGTAAAATTGATCGCTATCCAAACCCTGCATGTGATCTGAAAATATTAAAAATCATACATATATGTACATATATAATAATAATCATAATAATAATAATACTAATAATAGTAGTAATAAACAATAATAAATAATAAAAAAGCAATTCGTCCACATATAAAGTATTCCGTAAGGTTTGGATGAACAGTAAAGAGTTTAGATCTTTACTCACAGGATCAAAATCTGTATTTGTTTCGATCTTTACTTACAGGATCAAAATCTGTATCACCGAAAATTCCCGCTAATGACTGCAATATACTGATTGCAGTCATTAGCGGGAAGTTATATCAATAGGAAGAGAATCTTATCTTCTCATTTACATAGCACAGTACATCCGAGAGTGGTAAGCACTGCAAAAAAAGTAGGAAAACCTACCGAAAAGCCTAGCATGGCCATAGATGAGCGAAAAAATAAGCATTTAAGGTATTGAGCGAAATGATTGAAAAGAAGGAAGACGATATTAAAGTGGGGAGAAATAATGAAATAATGAGGATTTCAAGTTTGAAAGACAAAAGATAATTTAAGAACTTTGACTGATTACACTGACTTCAATGATGCTTACTTCAATGATTTAAATCGACTTCAGTGATAGTTACTTTAGTGATTTGTAGTAAACAAGTTGAGGAAATTTAATGGTAACCGATGACAATAACAAAAAAGAATTAAACGAACCACTATGGCAATGGGATAGGAAAAATGCGGAAGACTTCAAATTATCAGAACCAAATTGATCAATCGATATCCAATTACATTCATTGAATCGACCACAGAATGCATTCATTTTTAGATCTGAAAATAATTTCAACGGTAAGATCTCTTTCAATTACAAATATTCATATGAATACAACAGAAGGGATACGGCAAGAGACAAAAGTTGAAAAGTTAGTAAAATAGTATTAGAATTTTCATAAAGATCTATCTAGTATACGGGTGAGGAGGGCGGGAGGGAGATGGTATCGTAGACCGTTCGTGCGAAGTTTAAGTGTAGAACTCTAGAAATTTCGATGGTTAATCCTATGGGTTGATTAGTCGTTAGCTCTTTATGTTGTGGCCAATGATTGAGTTTTACATTCTTCAATTGAATTATGCTTAAAAACTAAGGAATAATTGCATTTAGATTGATAGGACATGGCTGGAAGACGCGATTGTCGTGTGTTTGTAGGTAACTTACCAAGCGATGTGAAACAGCGAGATTTAGAAGACATTTTTTACAAGTATGGGCGTATCAATTTTATTGATATAAAGTTTACGAGGGATGTACCATTCGCATTTATCGAATTCGATGATCCAAGGTAGTAACTTTTTTATCGAATGATACAAATCCCAGAATAGCTCAGTAATAATATTGAACAACTTATCTTTTTTTTTTTTGTTGCTCTTATCTTTCAGAAATACGCTTCTGAATTTTCCCTGTTTAGAAATTACATTGAAATCTGCGTGTGAGCCGTCGTAAGTGAATTTGAGATTGCAATGATCACATATATATAAGCATTGTTTTAATATTGCTGAATATTAATCATCAAAAGCTTTCTTAAAGAGATGCTCGAGACGCTGTTCATGGTCGAGATGGATACGATTTTGATGGATGCCGCATCCGAGTTGAATTAACTCGAGGTGTAGGTCCACGGGGTCCAGGTGGTCGTCCATTATATGGACCGGATCCGAGGTCGCCACGGCGTGGGCCACCCCCTCGACGAAGTGGCCATCGTGTTATAGTCTCAGGCCTTCCCGATACTGGCTCGTGGCAAGACCTTAAAGTAAGACTTTCATGCATGTTGAAGAAAAAATGCTTCCCTTATCTTTCATATAAAATCGTTTCAAAAAATCTGTTGAGAAATTATTTTAGTTTAGATTTTTGTAATCATTTTAGGATCATATGCGTGACGCTGGTGAAATATGCTACGCAGATGTTTTTCGAGATGGCACTGGTGTTGTCGAGTACACAAATTATGAAGATATGAAATATGCTCTTCGGAAGCTGGACGATACGAAGTTCAAATCGCACGAGGTAATAGAACACAACAATGTGTAGCTGTGACTGTTTATGGTAAAATTTATTTCTGGAATGTACTAGGATATTTTCAGGGAGAAGTAACGTATGTTAGAGTGAGAGAGGGTAATGTTAACAGTCCAAGCCGCCCGCGTTCACGATCACACACACCACGCAAAACGCGCTCGTCACCTAAGTACAGTCCTACACACTCTGCATCAAGAAGCCGTTCACGTTCTTCACTCTCTCGTTCTCACAGTCGTACATCTTTTGCTCGACGTTCTGCATCGCATTCGCGGTCTCGTTCCAGAACGAGATCAAAAACTCGTTCTGGTTCTCGCTCTGGATCGCATTATTGACCAGTTGCGGCGCCAAATGGCATATCTGCACTGGAGTATGCATTGTTTAAAGTTGTTTACAATTTCATTTGTTTCACTTAATGATGGAAAATTATAATTCTCAGTGGAAGTAGCTCATGCTGACAGATATGTTGTCTGTGCTGAGCATACAGTTCATAAAAATTTGTTATTCTTTCGTCTGTTGGTTTAGTTCTTGAATTCTGCCAGTTTGCTTGTAACCTCCGCGAACTCTTGTACTGTTTATTTCAGAAAAATTATCATTTTTATTCTTCTGTTATCAAAGCATGTGTTTTAGTGTGTTATTCAAACTACTGATCTGTTGTGGAAGTAGGTCATTTGGATTGTTTTCCGAAAGAAGCTTACTTTCAGGCATATTTGTTTGATTGCTTTGCTGTTTTACAAATTGAAAATAAAATTGGTTTCGTCAGTTGACTCAAATGATTTTCCTTCTATATTGCTGAAAATATAAATATTCGAATTTTTCAAATTTCAGTGACGAGGGATCTATAATCTATAAATGGGCCGAGTTTTCGACATAAAGTCTTTGTATTTAATAATCGCTCAAGATTCGAAGCGAGAAACCAAGTATTCGATTTCGAATCGCTGACAATTCGGTTCGACCAATAAGTATTTTGGGTTGTTACCGAGTCGATTATATCGGTTTGGAAGCGAACCGTTTTCGATGATATTAGAGGTTCATATATGTAAATAGGATTTAATATTATTTCGTAGGTTTATGGTCGTATCTTCGAAACATAGTTGGAAAGTGATCAAAGCTAAAACTGTGGTGTTCACCTTAATTGCAATGTGCTGGTATCGTGGCTGGCTAGTTTTATGTTGTAGTTTATACCACTCCTATTGAGTAAATTCGTAGATATTAGTGTTATTTGTAGATCTAACAAATACTAAGATACAAATCACAGTTCACTGATCTCCGAAATGATTGGCAGTACATTTGAATCTTATAGTCTAATTTGAGTTCAAACTGTCATACCGTCATCACTCGCTTGTTCATTTAACGTCGATGATTTGTGTCGATAAATTAGGTAATGTTACATTAATTCGGACTCAAAATGCAAGAGGAAAATTAGATATTAAGAAAAATTGCACTAGCTGAAAACTGCGTTAGCCATGTGGAGTATCAGAGATAAATATCGTTGTTAGTTATATTGGAATTCTGATTTTTCGCTGATCTTAGTCGTGTTTTTGCTATGCTGTAGAAAATAAGACGAACATTATTTATTACGCAGGCTCGTTTACTGAACATGATCTCCCTACTTTGCCCTATTCTCACTCCTTCTTCACCATTTAACCTTCCTTCGCACCTCTGTTCCTATGCCCTTCCAAAATTATGAAGTACAGTTATTGCCTCCTCGCGTGGGAAATAGAAATTAGTCCTTTCGCAACTTATTTTAAAGGTAACTTTGTTGAGATGTTTGGTATGACGAAAGTCGTACACCTAAAGTCATGTCTTGATGCCCGTAATACCAAATTTCTGCAAACGAGAAAATGTAACCGTACAACAATGAGTCCGAGTTATTACCTCGTGGTGAGTGGTCGTGCAGTAGTCGGTTTTGTGCTGCTCTTTCTGAATGTACCCATCGATTTCAAATTCCCTGTCCGACTATAGCGTTGAATATCGATTGAAAAGAGGAGTGTGAGCATGTGTTGTGTGCGCGGCGGCTTTGGGGTGCGTATTTGGTTTGGTGATGCGATAAATTGGTTGATAAGCTGAGTCAGATATTCGGTTTCAGCGTTTGTTTTGGCGTTACATTTCTCCTTTGCTGTTGTTCACTGCACGAGCGCTGTTGCGTGGGCGCGTCACTTGTACACGCGTTGCGTTACGCCGCTATTGGTTTCGATGGAAATCAAAATGCGAGGCATAAAGTCGTATTTTATATTTTAAATTTATTGTTGCTGTTAAGATAAAACAAGCATGGCCGGCCGCCGCGATTGCCGCGTGTATATTGGGAATCTTCCACCTGATATTAGACAGCGTGATTTGGAAGACTTATTTTACAAATATGGACACATCAATTTCATTGATGTCAAACTTACACGTGGAGCACCATTCGCTTTTATCGAGTTTGACGATCCACGGTTTGTTTTTGCCGTGTAAAATAAAAGCCGTTATTGTATTGTTTCTTCAAAGTGCAGCAGCAGTGGCTTACTATTATTGCATACTATTACTTTTTATAGTGTTGTTTTATCGAATTTTTTTGTTCTGCAGTGACGCGCGTGATGCAATTCGTGGACGTGACGGTTATGAATTAGATGGTTGCCGAATCAGAGTTGAAATGACTCGAGGGGTCGGTCCTCGTGGTCCAGGTGGTCGTCCTCTCTACGGTCCTGATCGTGGAGAACGTGATCGAAGACCGCCACCTCCTCGTGGCCCTCCACGCCGCAGTGGATATCGTGTTTTGGTAACTGGTCTACCAGTAACAGGATCTTGGCAAGATCTGAAGGTGGGTTTCTGCATATAATGAGTAAAGTGTGGTCCAATAAAGGAACGATCATTTGCTATTGTTCAGGATCACATGCGTGAAGCTGGTGACATTTGTTACGCAGATGTTTTCAAAGATGGGACTGGTGTCGTTGAATACACTAGACAAGATGACATGAAGTATGCAATCAAAAAGCTTGATGACACGAAGTTCAAGTCTCATGAGGTCAGTAATGCTTAGAAGTGTCTTTAAATTTCAATTTTCCTGAACAATTAAGCTTATTTGATTTTTATTCAAAATTAAAAAAAAATGTTTTTTTTATGTGGATATGAAAGTAACATATTTCAGGGTGAAACGTCTTACATCCGAGTGAAGGAGGCAGCAATCGATGATCGTTACAGGTCGCGTTCACGGTCCCCTCGTGGTTCTCCGAAGTACAGCCCGAAGTCGGCTTCTCGTTCGCGATCTCGCTCGCCGATACATTCCGCATCACCTGCGCGATCCTCTCGCTCACGTTCACAATAAAGATGTATGGATCACCGAAGATTTTTTATCGTTATTTGGAAATTTCAATTATTAATTGTTGCCTTCTCAATATCATTTTTATTGCACTCTTTTGAAGGTTTCAAACGACACTTCCAGATTTTGAAGAGAGGATCTCTCCTGCTAATGATTCTTGCCGTGATGACAGTGTAAAGCTTATAAATGCCGTAAAATTTTTAGTGCCAAGAGAAGAGATTGGAAATATAGGATTAATTGATGCTTCAGCGTGTTTGATATAGTAATAGTTACTTATTGCTTTAAGGTATGGTCAGAGTGTATATGAGAGTGTTCTGATTGTCTCTGAAAAAGAGAAAATTTTTTTGGTGCAACTCATTGATTTTTCGTTGGATTGTTTACAGTAATCTCGTTATTACGCGTATTCATTTATTCAAGAAGAGAGTTTATTTTTCAGTGATGCACTGTTTCCGAATTCAGCGTTCTTGTCATCCACTTTTAGCGTTGAGATACGTCCTGGATTTAATAAATTTTTGTACTTTCTCTTTATTACATTATTCGTAGCATCCATTTACTGGCAGTGATTCTATTTTTGTTTTTTCAGTGACGCCTCAGCAAACACTGTTTATGTGAGGATATTGATAGGGATAATCAACGACCACTACATTCTATTCAACCAAACCAACAGAATGTGTTTAATGCGACGCCAAACTTACGCCTCTGTCAAACAAATCATTTCTGGGACTTTACATCAAAAAACAATGTGGAGGGAATGGCCTCGATTAGTACACCAACGAGTGCGTCGACTTCTCCCGAATCCCCGATCCCGGATTTATTGGCAGTGTTTGTGCAACGCACTATGGGAGTGTTTGGCAGCGAAACGATAGGCTTTCAGCTCAAGCCTTCTCGAAACGATTTGTGGGCCCCGATAAGTTTTATTGACTCTTGGGTTGACGTGGGATGGGTCATATGCTAGTTTCTGGGATTAGTTTTGTCCAAGACCTGACGCTAAATGTTTTCATCCAGGATTCAGAAGTGAGTAAAGTGTTGCCTGTGGACCGTGCCTATAAATCTATAGACACTTTTTAGCGCTGCCATGTTCACTACATTGAGGGTGTGCAATTTTTTTTGGGAAGGGGAGCGTTTTTTCAGGTAGCGATGGTGTGGATTTTGAACAAGACAAGTCAGATATCCAGTCATGGTGAAATGCACAGCAGGTGAAGCATTTGGATTTATCATTTTCGTAAAGATTGGTATTTCCAGATATCCCCTTATTTCATACTTCATCTGATCTACATGACATGTATGATGGTTCGGCAAACCGGCAAAATCGGCAAACCTTAAAAAAATCGGCATAAAGCTTTTCTATTAATTTGTTTTGACTCTACATTTAAATTAGAAAGCAGAATCTTTGTGTTTATAAGGGAAAGGAACGGATGTTTGCTTTTAAACAATGTTTTGAAAGTCCTGTGGATAAATGATATGGAAAAAGATTTTGTTTGAGTAATGTAGGTTTTCCAAACGAAAGATTGTGTGCCAAAGTCGATCAATTCAATCAAATATATATACACCTTGGAATTAAGATTTGAGCAGCATTTGGAATTTCATTATAAAGAGTTAAGCTAATTAATGGGCAATGAGAAGGAGGGTAGTGTCTATCAAGATCGTTTGAATTGTTGTAAAAATGAAATTGTGGATTCGCTGCGAGGTCATCGTTTTATGAAGGTTTAGTTCCACATATCAGTGTTGACAATTATGGTGCAGTACTTGTTCTGCAGTCTGGCGATTTAGCTGTATTATTACGAATGATATTTGCATTCTTGGTATTAGCGCTGCATTTCATTAGTTGTAATTTCAATTTAGGATGTTTTCTTAATCTGTTAAACAAAGGGGATGAATTAAAGCGTCGTGAATTCTAGTTGCCGTTTTCTTTTGAGTGGTAAGAAGTGAGCGTCACATATTAATATTTCTCGAAGAAACTGAATGAAATAGAAGATATCTGAAGAGCAAAACATTTAACAAAACAATCATTTAATGCTTATCAAAATGCAGATTTCATAACTGTATACGATTTCAAAGATTGTTAGTAAAGAGAGTAAATGTGGTATGCGTTAACAGTTACTTGCGATCTATGAAGGCGCTATTACGCTGGAGTTTTTGTTCCTGAATTTCCTGTATAGTTCGTTCTTTGTTTTGATTTGTATGGTTTCACCTATTTCAGTATCATGAAGTATTAGATAAGTACGGATGTATACTGCACATCAGAAATTCAAAATAGCTAAATAGGACATGTGGCTTGGTGTCCATGGTTGTACCATTTTTCCAACTGTAGAGCAAAATTTAGAAAGAACTCCCTTACATTTGAGAAGCATGAAATGATTAATTTTGATTAGCAAGAATTAAAATTCTCACCGAGGGATGGAATTCACTTGTTTAATACTTTATCAATGCAGCTCAAAAACTTTATATTCGAATTTAAATTGGAAATTTTCTAGGGATAAGTCATATTTTGCTCGGAATATCGCTAAATGTTTGAAAAGAAATTTGTCAAAGAAATAGGAGAATGCAATGGAACTTATTCGTACAAGTAAATCCGCAATTGGTTCAGAATATTCAACGTTTCAATTAATTAATGTTCATGCATTTCTGCAAGAACTAAACTATTATTTATTATGAAGACAGTCAGGACTATTATGTGTAAACGATAATAAATAAAACACTAATAAATGGATTATATTTTTAATTAATGAGAATCAAAGTGTTTGCTAAAAAATGAAATTCATCTACTTGAATGATTGATTCATTTGCATTCAAATTCAACTTACCAAAATTTAATTTTTTTTAGACCGAAATCTTATTTCTTTAAATGAATGACTTTTGTTTGCAACACATGTTAAATAATCAGAGAATGATAGTTGGTGATATTATTCATATCTATGTTTGATAGTGAGCGGTTGTATATTTCTTGATAATTACTATCGTTATGCTACTTATCTTGTCTAAAATTAGTGAGAATTATAGATTTATTTACTAGTCTTTGGATAGTGATCCTTTAGTAGTTTTTTTCTTCCCTTTTCATCTATTTGGATTAACTTGTAATTTCTTATTTTTATTCTAACCAGATGAAAATAAATATATTATCATCCTACTTAAAGATCACCCATTCGGTGCTTCATCGAATTTAATCCATTAAAATTTAATTTCGAGATCTGAATCGAAATTATTGTGATGGACGAAGGGTAACTAGTCATTTACTTGGAACATGGATTAATATTCGGGATAAATATGGGAAATCAATAAAAAGCAGTAGGAATATTCCATCGAAATTATTCTTAGAAGTCAAACGCAAATCTCTGGTAAATGAAAATATTTCATTTTATTGAATTATCAAAAATTAATCAGAATACATCAAAAAATAATCATTTTTAAAAAAGCGGTATTTCTGTGCCAAAAAAAGTTATTGCATAATTCATAAATTAAATGTTTTTAACAATCTATCTTTTCTTAAAATTTTATCCATTGATTTGTCTCATTGAGAAAAAAAAATTTTAATAGTATCAGACGAAAGCGGAATATTCGAGATATCATTCAGCAACAGGCCGAAATTTTTCATCCATGTTACAAACATCCTCAACCGTATCATTGTTACATAAACGCCTCCCTTATCCGAAAGAGATTACCAATTATTTGGATCAATTCGTTATTGGACAAGAATATGCCAAGAAGACTCTTGCAGTTGGTGTTTATCAACATTACAAGCGTTTCGCATACAATGCTACCTTAAAGGAGAACGAATCGCAGGTATTTCATCTCTCATTTCTTTTATCGGAGAAGAAATGATTACAATTTATGGATTTTGGGATTTCTTAGAAATGATTTCAATGGTACCATTTCTTATTGATCACATTATTCATCATTGTATACAGAAATGAAAGAAATTAGAAGTGAAAAAATGATTTTGAAAAAATAACTTATCTTCTATTATTTAATTTCTTGTCGGTTCAATTAACTTTCATTATTTCTCGTGGGATTCCTTTAATTAAGTTAAATATAATAGCTAATTTATCAAAGCATTCCAAATGATAATTATTGTTAGTTTTTTTTTTTAAAATTCGATCCGATCAGGTCCAATCGGGTAAGTAATCTTTTAGAACAATTATTTCAATGCAGAATTTTTTAAAATGTTTGCTCTTTTTTGGTTTCAGACTCAATCATCTCCTCTAACACACGTTCCCAAACAAATTTCCGACCTTTCGCTAGTCGATGAAAACATTATCTTAAGAAAAATTCTGCAAAAAAGGTAAATATTTCAAATATTTCAAAATTCTTCGATCATTTTCTCGGCCATCTGCCCAAAAGTTTAAATGGAATAATTACTGTCGTGACATTTGTAGTACATTCGACTATAAGGTACTAGAAGCAGTACGGTCAAAAATATGATTCCGGGTATTCAGTTATGGACATAGTTGAAGCCGAGAAGACTAATCCAGTAGTTAATTTTATCTAGTTGTAGATATACAAGTTAGCTAAGAATGAGTAATTAGTATAGCTAAATTAGTAACAAGTATGCACAACTACTGCATTACTTCTTCAAGAATAAGAGAAAAGTAAATTTGATGTGGATAGCTACACATCTTTTAAATATGGCCATTCGTATAGAGTCGACAATACCCACTATGGTCACTAATAATTCGTTGTTATTCGTATGATTTCATTCGACATACAAACTCTATGTGAAGTTGGAGAAAATAGTGGACATAAGTGAGAAGTGAGAATACGAGATGTAAGAGGTTATAAGGTTTGGATGACATAAACCGTGATCGTTCCTGACGTTTTTTAGATCGAACAATAGTTTGTTCAATTATTCAAATAAGCCTGAACAATAATCGCTGCATTTCGATATTGGTCTTTTTGTTTAAGGATTTGACCTACCTGATAGTGTCATGTTTCGATAGCAAAGGATTAAGATTAATTAGCATTGGGAGCATTTGCTATCAATAATACCTTACTGTTGGAATTCTAATACAAATGCTTCTTTTTATATTCTCATTTCCATATATGAAAAACTTTCTTTAAATTTATTAATTTCGTTTTAACTTTTCATAAAATTCATTTCGGAATTGGCGTAAAAAGTGAAGAGAAAAATTGTTTGATTGTTTTTTTAGAAATTTATACAAATCCATCCACCGATAAAAAATTATTTCAGCAATGAGATACGAAAACCTCGGGGTAAAATTAATTTTAGCAAGAAATCAATTCGAGCTTTAATGGAAACGGATAAGGTAGTCTAATTTCTATTCCTTTTATTGATTAGTGATGCTTTTTTCTTAACAAAAATAAAGTCTTCTTTTAATCAAATTTATTTCACTGTTGTGCTTCATTTTTTTATTCTTCATGATAACTCTTTTTCTCATTAATCAAAAATTAATTAATGAAATGGGAAAAATGATCGATCAAGAATCTATTTTGATAATGCCAGCCTTATTATATATCTTAACCCTATGAATGTGAAAGAAAAATTAGTTTTCCTGTCAGATACACTTATTTCATTTTCCAGGACTATAACTTGGATAAATCAAATATAATTCTGATGGGACCATCCGGTGTTGGAAAAACTTACTTAACACAGATTTTGGCCAAAATATTAGATGTACCAATAGCAATGTGCGATTGTACAATGCTAACGCAATCTGGATACGTTGGAGATGATGTTGATACGGTTCGTGGTTGATTCCCTTGTCTTAGTAAACTCTCATTTTATTTACAGAGGAAGCAATATGATTGAGATGACTGAGAAAGGAGGGATTGTTTATTGTTTTGTTTGTTACTACAACTTCCAAAGTAATTCTATTATTCAATCCATTAAAACCATTCGTTTTCAAAAAAACTTCGCTTGTTTTTGGTAAAATATTATGGCTAAAAGAAAATCGGAAACCTTTTATTTTTGCGCAGTTGAAAATTAACTAAAAAAATTAACTATTAATACAGCACCAGTCTTAAATTGTCATGCTATTAATACACCAGCAATCCTAAATTTAAAAGAAATTTCCTCAGATCATTTCGGGTGTATCATTTCATCATTGCCGATAAATCTATTGTATCAAATAATCGGGTAGTTCAAGTGGATTCTGGTAGTTATCATTCAACATTTTAACACGTAATTAGCTTCATCAAATCTTCCTGCCGTGAATATTCTAATAACAGGACACTGGTGTATGTTCATTTGGTCATAATTGTGTTTTGTATGAATTATCTACTGTATAGTTTAAGCTGAGTTTAATTACAGGTCATCCAAAAACTTCTTGTTAATGCAGATGGTGATACTGATGCTGCTCAGGTGAAAATATTGATATTTCTTCTGTAGTTATTTATTTACTTGTTTTACATAGCTTATTTCAACACAAATGTTCCTTTTACATGCATTTAGCTTGTTTATTAAATTATCATTTTGGAATTATAATTTGCCAAGAGAATCGATTAATTATGTTATTTTTTAATTTTTCCCTTATCTTCCAAAATTTTGGGAACAAATGCAATATTCAAATTTTACGAAGTTTCTTAATCCAGAGAGGCATTGTTTTTCTGGATGAATTCGATAAAATTAGCAGTTCGCTCGATTTCGAATCACGCTCATTTCGAGATGTTGGAGGTCGGGGTGTGCAACAAGCATTTCTGAAATTAATAGAAGGTGCCGTAGTGAAAGTAAAACTACCGGGATCTAATGGAACACGGGTATGTTCATTATGCTGTACATAAAATACTCAAATATTTAGACTGAGTATCTTTATCTTGAAAATATCTTCATCTTTCAACACAATACAACTCTTCTCTTTATCATTTTATTATTCCTCTACGACCATTAAACTTTTTATTTTCTCATTGCTATTAAATGGAGAGATAAGGTAAAAATTAATAAAGA